AGGCTCTGTAATGGCTCCTCATTCAAATGTCTCTTGTAGTTACCAAAGGTAGAAGAATGGCAGATAAAGATGATGGAGTTTATGGAGCTGGCTGACCTCACCGGGAGAATCCGCGTCCAGAAAGAAGAGGAACACCAAGAAGATTGGAAGAAATTTAAAGACTATTTGAATAAATATTGTAATATTATAGAAATCTAATCACTTAAAAGAAACAATTAGGCCTAGGATTAAAATGGAATTAAATTTACAAATAAGAAAATGTACGATAAGGAAAGTTATGTAATATGATTAGGACTGTGATATGGTCTTTTGAAACACTGATATTGGAAACTGCTACATATAATAACTAAGAAATTCGGATGGAAGAGATTCGAGGAAGTCAAATACTATGTTTTTGAAGATGGATGGTGCTTAATTTTAATTAATTAAGTGGCAATATGTTGTATGTATCTTTTTTCTTTTTTCTCTTGTTTTTTGTTTGTCTTTATTATTGTTAATCTCTTCTTTTTTATTATGTTTACCTACTGAAAATAATAAATATTATTTGAAACAACAACAACAAATATCTCTTGTATACAAATGATTCAAGAGAAATGGGGCGACAACTGATTTGTCATGCTCTTATACACAGCTGTCATTTCCCTCTGTACTCCAACAGAAGTAGTAAAAGAAGTTCTGAATAGCACCAGTCCCAGGTCCGGACAGTCGGTATGGACAAGCAGTAACTAACTGGGAACCTAAGTCTCCACCTTCTTCAGCAACAACAACCTTCTGAAATGTTTGCAAGAAACCAATGTTTAGTCCCTGGAGAAGTCAGGCATGCGGACAAGGAAGCTGCAGCTAGATATGGGAGTCCATGCTTAGAATGAGCTGCAAAATCCACATGAAAAACAGGTTCGGCAACTGGAACCAGCCACAACCTGTTGCAGTGGGGAGGGCTGGTCCCGTGACCCCCTTCTAGTTTCCCATTTCCTCTCCTGCAACAGTCAGCCAAGATTTGGTGGCTACTGAGCATACTCAGTCCTCAGTGGGACATTTCAGAGAGGATTTCTCTGCATTCAGGTTCTCTGTACACCTTAAGGTTCCTCCAAGCCTGCTTCCACCTCTTCGATGTGCAGGGATGGTGATGCTTCAGAGAGTCCATGGTCCACACTCAAAAGAGAATGAGTTTGCTATTAGCCTACAGGGTTGTGTGATCAATACACTAACAAGTGGCGGTGAATGCACAACCTTTTGCCTTCTAGAACAGGGATGTCCAACTCCCAAGAGACTGCGATCTACTCACAGAATAAAAAACTGGCAGTGATCTACCCCTGGGGGGTTCAGGTCAAAGTTGCCGAGCTGTTTTTAGGGAGGAAAGTCAAAGTTGTTGACCCTTTTCGAGGGGTTCAAGTCAAAAATGTTTTTTAGAGGGGCAGGTAAAAAATGTAAAGCTGTCTTTAGGGGGAAAGGAACAAGTCGCTCCCTGAAAGATCGATCAGGAAGCAAAGAGCCTCACAGCGAGTACTACGTCTTCCGTTCAAGCGATCATGTGCGAATGGAGGACGGGGCGAGGGGGTGGGGCTGGATCCTCTGCCCCCCCAAACGAAAAAGAGCCTGCGATCGACCCAAACCTCCTGGGGATCAATCAGTTGATCGCGGTTGACCAGTTGGACACCCCTGTTCTAGACTAATCTATCCATTCTTAATTTTTATTCATTTATGTAGATCTCAATGCAGCTCACAACGTTAATTACTGTCTGGAATACTGTTTGCTGTGCGACTGGATGAAGTACCATTTTTAATTGGGGGGGGGCCTTAAAAATTCCAGTGCTATACAAAACAACACCTTTTTTTTGTAACCTACTGTTGTTGTTTTTTTAAAAAAGAGAACCACTCTACGGAATAAATGAAAACGTGGCTAGAAGAAGCCCACCTCCTTAATCATCCCTGTGAAATTACGGTGCAGAATCCCTGATGGGGCACCCGTCAACTGCCACGCATGCGCGGTTTCTATTTTTTTTATTAACATATAAAACACATACATATACATTTACATATACAGTGGTACCTCAGGTCACATACGCTTCAGGTTACAGACTCCGCTAACCCAGAAATAGTACCTCAGGTTAAGAACTTTGCTTCAGGATGAGAACAGAAATTGGGCTCCGGCGGCGCGGCGGCAGCAGGAGGCCCCATTAGCTAAAGTGGTGCTTCAGGTTAAGAACAGTTTCAGGTTAAGAACGGATTTCCGGAATGAATTAAGTACTTCACCCAAGGTACCACTGTACATTTACACAACACACGTACACAACACACTACCTTATTTTCATAACATAAAACATACCTACATTACTCTATATAATACCTACCTATACTATACATATCAACATACCTACACACCTACCCCCACGGACACCCACCAAGTGACTTGACTTCCAGCCATTCTTGTTACGCTACTTTATTTTTCCAACTAGCTTAAACACATTTCATTATTTCTTTAATCTCTTCTTTTATCTTAACTTTACTCTCCTTTCACTCTAATCATTTTCTGGATTCACTCAGTATCTGTCAGAAATTCTACTTTTCCCACATAACTTTTGATGTATTCCTTAACGATAGCCCACTCCTTATTCACTTTTTGTACCATATCTCCTCTTATCCTCCCTGTTAATTCGGCAGTATGGAAGTATTCCATCATTTTAGATAACCATTCTGTTTCAGTTGGGACGCTGCTGCTTGTGAGTCGAGGACCCTCCACCCGCATAGGATTATAATAAGACACACAGACACGTTATTTTAGGTTAATGGGCAAAATTAGGCCACAACTTTTATTGGCTACAGCATGTGAGTGGTATTGGCTTAAAGGTAAAGGGACCTCTGACCAATAGGTCCAGTCGTGGCTGACTCTGGGGTTGCGGCGCTCATCTCGCTTTATTGGCCGAGGGAGCCGGCGTACAACTTCCAGGTTATGCAGCCAGCATGACTAAGCTACTTCTGGCGAACCAGAGCAGCGCACGGAAACACCATTTACCTTCCCGCTGGAGCAGTACCTATTTATTTACTTGCACTTTGACATGCTTTTGAACTGCTAGGTTGGCAGGAGCAAGGACCGAGCAACGGGAGCTCACCCTGTCGCGGGCATTCAAACCGTCGACCTTCTGATTGGCAAGTCCTAGGCCCTGTGGTTTAACCCACAGCGCCACCCGCGTCCCTTAGGTACCTAAGGTTCCACTGTATTATTATCCACAGACAACAATGAATAGGATAAGGGCAGAGGCAGAATTGCGTGACCGGTTCCACCACTCTGGGCAGTGAGCCTAGGGGACACTACAGGGTGTGGCAACGATGGCACGGCATGGGCAGAACGGAGGGTGAGAGGCGGGGGCACCACATTTGTGCATCGATGAAATACCAAAGTCTGCCCCTGCTAAGGGTTGCCACCTTTCTGCTGCCAGCAGCGCTCCTCTGACTTTTAACAGTTGCATGAAAGGAAGATGAAGCTGTTCGCAGCACGGCACCTGAATGTTGAACAAGGTTTCTGCTTGCCTTGTACCTATTATAATCACAAAATTTCCATCAGAAAATAAACAAGTTGACTCTCACTTAGCAACTGAGACCTGTGGATATAGGGCAGTATACAAATTTAACTAATTATAATATTAATAGTAATAACTGCCAGCCCCAGACCTCTCCTTAAGAAGGCATGAAGACAAGGAGTAGGTTGTGAATTGTGCAAAGTATTTAAAAAAACCCTAACCCAACCTCAATTCAACTTCCTGATCTGATTTTAGGATGTATTTTCATTGATTGCCTGATTTTATGTTAATGTGTTATACGTTTGATGTTAGCCGCTCTGAGCCCGGTTTTAGCCGGGGAGGGCGGAGTATAAATATTAATTGTTATTGTTGTTGTTATTATTATGAACAAGATGTATTTGAGTATATATAAAGCGTGATTCAATTAAAGAGGTTCTTCCCACCCATATAAGCAGAATGAGGAAAAAAATGTTCCATTATGATTATTTATTTATTCCGATTATTCCTACCCTGCTGGTTTTAGAAAAATAAGACATTGCAAGTCATTTAGAAGGCATGATACAGAAAAGTTACGTTGACATAAACTATCCAACAGAAGAAAGCAGAAACACTTGAACAACTTCTCGTAAGCGGCAGAAGGATGATAAAACCAACATCGCCTTAGAGCAATAAACTTCAGGGACAATAATAAAATCGGTATCCAAACACAATTAAAAGTTTTCCGGCAGGTGCTAACGGAGGCCAACAGTTCTGTGGAGAAAGAAGACGGTGAGGGAAGCAGGGGGGCCGAGACAGTGGCAGCATAGCTGTCAATGTTTTCCTTTTTTTAAGGGAAATTCCCTTATTCCGAATAGGATTCCTCGCAAGAAAAGGGAAAAGTTGACAGCTATGAACGTCAGAGCCTGATCCAGCCACTCTCCTCCTCTCCGCTAACCAACAACTGCCCTATGGAAAACATGAACAGGCATCAAAACTCCTGCGTTAGTGGAAATGCTTGTTCCATTTTGTTTTTAAATAGGGGTTTTTTTTGGGGGGGGGGGGTTAGACAAGGCCAATAGTCAGGAGTTGACAGCAACTGCAGTCCCAAACATCTGCAGCACAAACACACTGACTACTCTTGTGCTTGTCAAAAAGCAGTTAATAAATGTACCGTTTTTTCGCTCTATAAGACGCACCAGACCACAAGACCCACATAGTTTTTGGAGGAGGAAAACAAGAAAAAAAATATTCTGAATCTCAGAAGCCAGGACAGCAAGAGGGATCGCTGCGCAGTGAATCCCTCTTGCTGTTCTGGCTTCTGGGATAGCTGCGCAGCCTGCATTCGCTCCATAAGATGCACACACATTTCCCCTTACTTTTTAGGAGGGAAAAAGTGAGTCTTATAGAGCAAAAAATACGGTACTTAAGCAGATGAGGCTCTAGGGCAGGCATGTCCAAACTCCCTTTGGGGGCCTAATCTGGCCCGCTGGTCGACTGAATCCAGCCAACAACTTTGGGATAAAAGCCTAAAGAAAGCTCAGCAACTTCGGCCGTCAGCCCTCACGCATGGACTAGAGATGGCAGTTTTAACATTATTTTTACAGGAAGGTTTCCGGTGTCTTTGACGGCGGCACAACGACACACAGAGACTGAGAAAACACAGATTTTTCTCGGTGGTGGAAAGAGTTTCACTGGCTGAATTGCTGCCTGCTGTTAAAAAGGCACAGGGAAAAGGTGATGATGCCAATGAGAATAAGACAGAGGGCAATGCTATGTGGTCTGGTGCCCATGGGCTGGAGCCCTTGGTCTGCTGCACCCTTCAAAGTGAGACCAACCCATCCAGTTCCCTTCTCTTCCCTGGACAGTCAAAAGTACATTGTAAGAGGGCAAACAGAGTGTTCAGACAGTGGAATCGACTGACAGCAAGAGATAAGGAATAGTTTTTTTGCTCTGACCTGCAGAGACATCACCTTGCCAACAAAGGTCCATATAGTTCAAGCTATGGTTTTCCCAGTAGTAATGTATGGAAGTGAGAGCTGGACCATAAAGAAGGCTGATCGCTGAAGAATCGATGCTTTTGAATTCTGGTGCTGGAGGAGACTCTTGAGAGTCCCATGGACTGCAAGAAGATCAAACCTATCCATTCTGAAGGAAATCAGCCCTGAGTGCTCACTGGAAGGACAGATCCTGAAGCTGAGGCTCCAATACTTTGGCCACCTCATGAGAAGAGAAGACTCCCTGGAAAAGACCCTGATGTTGGGAAAGATTGAGGGCACAAGGAGAAGGGGACGACAGAGGACGAGATGGCTGGACAGTGTTCTCGAAGCTACAAATTCACGCACAGGCATCTTAGTGTAACAGCAACAACTGGGGAACACTTGCCTGCGAGCACTCCAATTGGGGAAGAGCCTTTACCAAAGGTGTCATGGGCTTTGAAGACATTCAAACTCAGGACGCAAGGGAGAAACGTGCTAAGAGGAAGGCATGTTTGGCAAACCCGCACCAGGATCAACTCCTGCCCGAGAACCAATGTCCCCACTGTGGAAGGACGTGTTGATCCAGAACTGGCCTCCACAGTCACTTATGGACTCATTGTTAAAACTGTGTTCATGGAAGACAATCTTACTCAGCTACGAGTGATTGCCAAAGAAGAATAAGAATAAGAAGAAGAAGAAGAAGAAGAAGAAGAAGAGGTAGTAGTAGTAGTAGTAAGGGCAGAAGACAGCAAGACAAACAGTAGATGGAGCCACAGCCAATGACAGGCAGAACCACCACCATCCCAAACTGGTTTTAAGTAAGAAGGGATACTGGTGGGTGCTGGCTGAGGACAGGGTGAAGTTAGTGGAGCAGTGCCCCATTGTCCCCATGGACTGGCCTTGCTGGTTTCCCGCTTTGTGCCATGTCAGAAGTCATGGCCTAGGACCCTCATACCTACGGGACCACCTCTCCCGATATGCCCCACGGAGGACCTTAAGGTCCATATATAACAACACCCTAGAGGTCCCGGGCCCTAAGGAAGTTAGATTAGCTTCAACCAGAGCCAGGGCCTTTTCAACATTGGCCCCGGCCTGATGGAACGCTCTGTCTCATGAGACCAGGGCCCTGCAGGATCTGATTTCTTTCCGCAGGGCCTGTAAGAGAGTTGTTCCGCCTGGCCTTTGGCTTGGAATCAATTTGATTCCCTCCCCCTTTTTCTTTTGTCCTTTCTCCTCCTGTGATGGAACTCCTTTTTGGGGACTTCCCTGGCCTTTTTCTGGCCCATGTAGGTAGGACCAGTCTGGATAGTTAGCCTTGGTGAAGACCTGATGTTTTCATCCTCAAAAAAGTTTTTGATCTGAGTTTCCATTGAAATGAGGCTGCATTTTAATGTTTTAATGTTGTGTTTTAATCTTGTTTTTAAGTTGTATTTCAATCAATTTGTTTTTATATCGGTTGTTAGCCGCCCTGAGCCTGGTCTCGGCTCGGGAGGGCGGGGTATAAATAAAATTTATTATTATTATTACTTTCCTTTTCAACTTCTCCAAACTTTAGCACAAAGTGAGAGGAAGATCCACATCTCTCCCAAATCTTCTGAAAGTGCAGAGAAATCAGAAAGGGGTCTTTTCTCTCTGCACTGGGATTAAAAGATGGGATACACATTAATAAACAGCATGACCTTCACCATGATGTGTTGAGCACCACTAGTAATAGTTTCTCTACCACCATCCATTTGTAGATTTCTTCCACTCCCGTTATGGTTAGAATGACCAAGGAAATGCGTGGAGACATTGATGTGTGTCAGTGGCTGCCCATCCTGACATGGAAAGGGCACAGGACAAAGAAATAGAGGAGTCTAGGGCCGGCCCTGCCATGTGGCAATGTGGAGCAATCTGCTTCAGGCGGCACCATGAGAAGGGGCATGCAATGGTCAGGGAAAGAAAGGGAAGCAGGAATTAAGCGTATGAATGCTGCAGCAGGACTTTTTCAAGTGTTTGCCCTGGGGAGTGGGTGCCATTTGGGCTGTGCTTCAGGCAGGAAAATGCTCTGGGCTGGGGCACTGTAGAACACCCTCCCACCAGATGTCAAGGAGATGAAGAACTACGCTACTTTTAGAAGACATCTGAAGGCAGCCCTGTGTTGGGAAGGTTTTAATGTTTGATGTTTTATTACGCTTTTTATATGTGCTGGAAGCCGCCCTGAGTGGCTGGGGAAACCCAGTCAGGTGGGTGGGGTATCAATAATAAAATTATTGCTACAGTGGTGCCTCGCAAGACGAAATTAATCCGTTCCGCGAGTCTCTTCGTCTAGCGGTTTTTTCGTCTTGCGAAGCAACCCTATTAGTGGCTTAGCGGATTAGCGCTATTAGCGGTTTAGCGGCTATTAAAGGCTTAGCGGCTTAGAAAAAAGGGGGGGGAGCGAAAAAAATCTCAAGGCTCGCAAGACATTTTCGTCTTGCGAAGCAAGCCCATAGGGAAATTCGTCCTGCGAAGCGCATCGAAAAACGGAACACCCTTTCGTCTAGCGGGTTTTTCGTCTTGCGAGGCATTCGTCTTGCGGGGCACCACTGTACAGTGGTACCCCGGGTTACATACGCTTCAGGTTACAGACTCTGCTAACCCAGAAATATTACCTCAGGTTAAGAACTTTGCTTCAGGATGTAAACAGAAATCGTGCAGCAGGAGGCCCCATTAGCTAAAGTGGTACTTCAGGTTAAGAACAGTTTCAGGTTAAGAACGGACCTCCGGAACAAATTAAGTACTTAACCTGAGGTACCACAGTGTTATCAAACAGGAATCTTGCTGCTGTGATGACATATGAAGCAGACAAAAACTGGTGTAGATCTGCTGTCAAGCAGAGGGCAAGGAAAAGGAAAAGCAAGCAGGAACGAAACCACAAGTGTCCCGTCTCCGGAAAAATGAAAAATAAAAACAGATTGATATGAAATATTGGAAGAATTTGAAAACTAATACAGTGCGAGAAATACTGGCAACATTTCCATCTCCACTAGATACAAAAAGCAAAGCAAAGGGGTCTCTGACCTTGCTCACCTTTGATGAGTCAAGATCCACGCAACTGCACTCCTTTCCCGCCTGGCGTGGATGTAATTAAGGGGAAGCTGCCGTGGTAATTTCTCTCCTCATTAACTTCCTGATTGGTTTGAGGCTCAGATTTCCACCAGGCTGCCGTTTGTCACCAAATCCAAATGGCCAATCGTTAAGACTAATGTTTGTGTAACTAACTGCCGGCATCTGCCGCACGGCTCCTTGTACAACAATAATAGGGAAAGCGAAACATTAAAGCTCCTGTGTTAATTCAGCACTTATTCATCAACGGGGAAATCTATGGTGTAATTAGCAAAATGCATCGCTAGACAAGTGCACCGCCAGTCCTTTGGAAAAAGCTAAATCACAGGAGAGGCTGTCTGAGAGCCCTTAATGCGTTAACCATCAGGACTTATTCCACTCTGAATACTTATCGTTTAGTGGGGGGCCAACGCCGAGCTAAGATCCTTTAAAAAGGTAACGTGGAACAATTCACCTCCCGTTGACTCCATTGACAGCGGCCAGATTGCACCAAGTTGCTTAAAAAGATGTGGTCAACCTGACAGAATCAGGAATGAATTTGTAAGGAATGGCGGTAATGACCCAAATTCTGTTTTCAGGCAGAGACTTCTGCACTGCAACCGGTTGAAACTCGACCCGGCATCAATCGGAAAAACAGGCAAAGTTCCCATTGTAGAAAATACAGTATTTTCTAAGCGCTGAAAGCTGTTTTTATTCTCAGAGCAAGCCCCTGTGATGTCCACCGATTTCAGCGGCAACGGTCAAGTGCAAACGATGCAAGGAAACTGTTCCAAATGAGAGATTCCTCGTAGTCTGTCCCACAGGAAGGGAATGTCCTTGCCTCCGTTGGCGACTCCCATCCACACAGTTTCCTTCTGATTCACGATAAGAAAACAGGTCCGTCCGTCCCCCAATGCTTTGAGCCCTGGAGGTGCCACAATTGGGAGATCCCTCCCTTTCTTCAGTTTAGATAACTATGGAGAGAAATCTCAAATTTATTTGCTGAGCCCAAAGGCAGCTGGTAGAAGAGACTTGTGCCATCTTTTTAAGGTGCTCACTTGATCTCCTGTGTTGTCCATGCCTCTGCCGGGAGGGGCAAGATTGGAATGGTACAAATGCATCAGCGTGGTGAATCCATTACTCCTGCCAGTGGCAAGACCTGTGGTTTCCAGACCACCAACCTCTGGCCTCATCAGTCGCCACTGAACCGACCCTTCAGATTTTACACCATGCACAAACCCTAAAGAAGGGATGCAGACATGGCCCTCCAGACCTTGCTAGACTCCAACTTTCATCACTCCCAGCCAACATGGCCGATGGCAAGGGATTATGGGAGCACACGCCCTCGAGGATGAGCTTGAATACGGGGGGAAAGTTGTCCTGGTTGAAGTCCAAAGACAAGGGACACACAAACACACACACTCCCGTATTTCTAGGGGTGGACGGCAACCCTAATTCCAGCAGATGGACCTTTACTCTTCTCTGTATGACAAGCTGCATCTCCCCAAATTGCCCCTTCCACTCAGTTACTAAGGTACAAAAGCCCTGTTCTCCTTTGCTTCTGGTCGCCTTACGAGAGAGCACCGCTCGTTCAGAGATGGCCTTTGTTCCTCACCTTTGTGACATCTGGAAAATTGGTGGAAGCTGTAAGAGATTTAGGCATTGGAGGCATGAGCAGCTGAAGCGTGGAGCAGGGCTCTTCCTCAAAACCACCCAAAAGGCAGCCCTGCCACAACACATAGGCTGATTCCATCTCATTCTCATTTCTCCCAACTGGTCATTACTGTTTTCTCGTTTCATGGAAAAATAAGGAAATCAAGCATTGCCCCACTAATCCACTTGGTTTAGTCCACAGCTGTTGGACTGAGTTATGAATACCGATCTCCCTAGAATGTGCCAAGCCTTGTACTGTTGTCTCAGTCTTACTACAAAATAAATATTTACATGTTTACCTGGGCACATGCAACTTAGCGGCTAATAATTAGTATTTAGTTTGGAACTTGCGTATTTTTCCCTTCCTTCCTTCCTTGTATGATATTGGTTACATTTTGGCCAAAATGCAAAACCAAAACAGAACACATAACCTCCAAAATAAAAGTCATCAATGAACTGAGATGCCATACAAAGAACTGCCTAGACTTGAGTGATCTTCTGTAAGTCAATGGCCTGGAAAGCATAATATGCTTCTACTGATGTGAGAAACCACTAGGATAGTCATGCTTGGAAGGCAAATGTTCTTTGTGTTTACATTTAAAAACCATTAGACTCTTAATAAGAAGCAATTTTTTAAAGATTTAAGCTCTCAAGGGTTACAGACCATTTATTAAAGCTCTTTCACCTTCTTATTCAGGGAAGGAAATAGAAGGCACATCCATTCTGCAGACTCGCTTGGAATCTGGATCCGAAGGCTCGTTTCTACATTAAGGCTGCAATCCTATTGCCACTTATCTAGGAGTAAGTGCCATCAATGGGGCTTACTTCCAAGTAGACAAGTATAGGCTGGCACTGGAATCGAAACAGAGCACCGACATGCCCAAAAGATGGTCTATAAAATGTGGCGAAGGCTTTTCCAAATGAAAAGCTTTGCGGTGAGGGCACAGATTAAGGTTGGTTTTCTGAATGCAGATACGTAAGGAGCAGATGGAAGCCAGAGTAGGTCCAGTTTGGAAGTGCAAATATGTAAAAGAGAAAGGGAGTCCATCGCATTCTCCCTGGAGTGTTACCTATTTGAGGAAGGGCTTATTGATTAATAGAAGCAGATCCGGTTGATTTCTCAATAAAACAAAGGAGTGTGTAAATCTATTCTGTCTGTTTTGATGGGAAAAGGTCAGGCCAGGATGGGAAATGGAAGGTACAGTGGACCCTCTGGATGTGAACTTAATTTGTCCCGGGGGATCTGCACTTACCCTGAAAAGACCATATCTGGAGGTGCCGCTTCTGCGCATGCGGCGTTTATAACTCGAAATTACGTTACCATTTAGGGAAGATAGACTAAAGGATTCTGCACAAGGCCTCAAACCGCCACCCGAGATGGCAAAGGTGCTGCGCAGTCCCACGAAGGGCACCCACGAATGAAGGTGTGAGCACTCATTACATGCACTCTAATGCCAACTCAAGGAATATTATTGTATATTCAAGGGCAATAGTGCACTAATAATAACCAATATTTGAGAATTTAACGGGAAACCATGTCAGTACTTTGGTTTAGCACAAATATTGTTTTCTTTTTAAATTTAGGTTTTCTTTTATTCTTTTTGCTTATCTTTGTAGGATACAGATTTTGTAATTAGGGGCAGAGGCGAGGGAGAAGGGACTGCCGTAATAGGGCACCAGTGGGCTTCAGGAATGTAGGGCAGAAGTTCAGAGAACCCACAAACTGGTGAGCCGTTTGAGATAAATTATATCAAAATGCAGGATTTCCCAAATATATTCCTCTGCTGACTATACCCTACATTACGGTGATCCCAGTGAAATATTTATTTAGCACATGGATGGATCACAGACCCCAAATGTTCCGAATGACCATCTGATTACAGCATTCTGAATATTGGGATAAATTATATATATATATATTCTTCTTACCCAGTTATATGGTAGAAAATGTGTAGGTATTTTTTCCCCCTTCAACAGGTCACAGTACTTTGTAACACTGTAAATACGTATTTGCAGGGCCATATCTTCTCAATATAGTATGAAAAGCAGAAGGGAGAACAAAATTTTCACCACACCCTGCACAGACACCTCTGCCATGATGGGTGGGACAGTTTAAAGACATTGGTGCTGTCCAAAATGGCAGCCAATGTTAAGTTTTCTCCCCCATCTAGATTGCATGCCGAAACATATCCGTACCCTGGTGACAATGGGCAAACCAACGAGACAAGGCTCATTTGTTTCCCTACACTTTACAAAAATCACTGTATACTGAGCTGCCATTTTCAGCCGTAGCGCCATGCTTATCTGAACACCTAGTTCTGCCTTGAATACGCCTATTATTTCACAACACAATCTCTGGCCACTGCTGATCTCCCCTTCTCACCAACAATGTTAAAAAACCATTAGGATTATCTCAAATGCCTGCCACTCGACTGATTCACTGTGTACTTTCGAACTGGATTTCATTCTTGGCATTTAGTGCACAAGAGAGACGGATGAATGGATGGCTCCGTTCCATCTGCCCTATCAGAGCTCATATCATCCTTCCCCAGTACATGCCAGTATTTGTAGTTAGCTGGAAAGCTTGCTGTTAAGTGATGGAACAACTAAAATTAGCTAAGAAAAACTAAATTCTCTCCGCCCTGGACAATAGATCTCCTGAAAGCCATTACTTGAAACAAATACCTTTCCTGTTTCCCTTGTTTAAAACAGAAAGAAAAAAGAAATAGGGGGAGGTTGACATGTTGGGGAAAAGCAAACAGGAGATTGACCTAGAGTTCCTTGCCTACAAATCCAGATGTGTCAACAGCAGTAGTTTGGCCTTTCAAGATTTGACACTTGTTATGTCACGTGCCAAAGAAAGGAAGGACATTGGCTCTCCTTCCCCCCCACAGTGCGTAATAATGCAGTCATACAGAGGGAATGTTATCGATAGGGATTTGCCATATTAGGACAGAAAACACAATGATCGATTTGGACCTACAGTGGTGCCTCGGGTTACATATGCTTCAGGTTACATACGCTTCAGGTTACAGACTCCGCTAACCCAGAAATAGTACCTCAGGTTAAGAACTTTGCTTCAGGATGAGAACAGAAATCGTGCTCTGGCGGTGCGGCTGCAGCAGGAGGCCCCATTAGCTAAAGTGGTGCTTCAGGTTAAGAACAGTTTCAGGTTAAGTACAGACCTCCGGAACGAATTAAGTACTTAACCCGAGGTACCACTGTACAGAAATGTCCTTTGGGATGGAAGACCATCTGCCAAGTCTTTCTTTCTTCTTTCTTTGGCGATCACTCGTAGCCGAGTAAGATTGTCTTCCATGAACACTGTTTTAACAGTGAGTCCGTATGTGACTGTGGAGGCCAATTCTGGATCCACACATCCTTCCACAGTGGGAACATTGGTTTCTGGGCAGGAGTTGATCATGGTGAGGGTTTGCCAAGAATGCCTTCCTCTTAGCACGTTTCTCCCTTGCGTCCTGAGTTCGAGTGTCTTCAAAGCCCATGACACCTTTGGTAAAGGCTGTTCTCCAATTGGAGGGCTTGCAGGCCAGTGTTTCCCAATTGTCGGTGTTTATACCACATTTTAAAAGATTTGCCTTGTGAGAGTCTTTGAACCTCTTTTGTTGACCACCAGCTTTACGATTTCCATTTTTAAGTTTGGAATAGAGTAGTTGCTTTGGAAAGCAATAATCAGGCATCCGCACAACATGACCAGTCCAGTGAAGGTGATGTTAAAGAATCATTGCTTCAACACACTGACCAGAAACTACAGCATATACCCCAATGACCTGCATTGGCCGGTGCAAAAACACAGGGGAGTCGCAAGGGCGCAGGAGATTCAAGATCAAAAGCACTGCTTAAAAACAAGGTCCATCTTGCCCTGGTTCAAAACCCTTCGAAACTAGGATTTTCTGCTCCTATTGTAAGGTACTCTAGACCTTAGCAGTGGTGGCATAGTTCCATGAAGGAATTCGACTCTGTTAGCTGTGTAAACTTCTACCATTGCTTGATTTCCTTGCCAACAATTGTATGTATTCCTATTTGGCCCAGGAAAGAATCCACTGGAACAGGTCCTGTTATTGCCAGTAATGTCTCTGGAGCAAAACGCTGCTGGGAGAGAATGAATCTTAGCCTCCAGTGTTAGAAACTGAGATAAGAAAGCTAGGAGCTCAAGGGACCTTAAACCAAGGTTATGGGCGCAACAATGAGTGTTTTTTATAACAAGAATATAAAGCTGAAAATGAATGAACTGCAGCTAAAATATCATGTTCATTTTTCACATGGTCCGGTCCTTCCCCTGCCCACCCCCCTAATATTCTGAAGAGGGTCTCTTCTCCAGTCTTCAGAGAGTAGCTGGAAGTGGGGAGGCAGAAAAAGCTCCTCCTTTCCTTCCAATCTAGTTTCAATCTCAAATCTTAGGTGCAGTATTGAGCCCAGAGCTCAGAAACTGCTCATGTTAATGAAATACCCTGTTGCAAAGTTTAAGGCACCAGAAAGTGTGTAAAGAATGGATAACCTTTAAAGAAAATCTAAAATAATATTGTGAAAATGCAAATCTCATGACAGGTCTAGATTGAATCTTGAATATTAAGGAAAACTATAAATGTAGAAAATTTTCTGGATGTGTAACGGATATAACAGGAAATGCGTCAAGGTAAAGAATATGTAGAAAGCACAATGAGGTGAATCGGAAGTCAAAAGTGTGCGTGATGTTAGACGATGTCTTGTTAGTTAATGTTCATTGTCATTGAGGTATTGTCTTGTCTGTCTGCGTTGTTACATGTAAACTGTTTTGCAATAAAGTTAAAAGAAGAAGAAATCCCCTGCTGCAAAATGCGCCTGGAACAATGGGAGTTTTGAACACTGTTAGCCTCCTAGTGGCCAATCTAGCTGGCAGCACGATACTCACACAGGGCACCTGCTCATTTGGGTCCGAAGAAAGAAAGTTTGGCTTTCACTCTTTGAGAGCAATTGGCATGAATGAAAACAAAACAAGGCACTTTATGTAGGTTGTATCTGAGAGGGTATACCATATTTGCTGCAAACACCAGCACACATCAGCAGTGCTGGGCGATACCTGGTTTTCAACATTGTAATATATATCCACCAACTAAACATTGCGATATATTATGATGTCTGAAATAAGGGTGGAACTATGCATATGCAATCCTGCCTTGTGATTTTTGCTGGCACCTGCTCTCGTGATTTGCGTGAGGCAGGGGAGATTTGAGCTGGCAGACTTAAGAGGGGCTAAGGAATCAAGAGAGAGAATTGCCTGGCTTCACTGTTTTCCCCACATTGTGATTTCTGATTCGCACATGCACAGATACTTATCACGATTCACAATATTTGGCCAGGTCAAAAATTATGAAACCAGTATCACGATATGGGCTTCAAACCAGTTTGGGACGATATATCGCCCAGTCCTACACGTGAGTTGAGGCCTAAGCCCCAACTCAAAATGCAAAATCACATTTAGTAAAATCAGAGCACAGCTCTATTTCAACAGAAATAAACTGAGCCAGTTCAGCTCCAAGAGACCATTACCAACTGTAAAAGAAATTCTAGCATTTAACTTTCCAGCCTAAGCTGAGATGACGGTGTCATTATAAATATATGAGGCTATTCACGTACATGGCACAGATATACCTTTTCCTAAAAATGTCAGTGGCTTGCTAAGAAGGAAGAAAATGAATAGAATTCATTCTTACTGCATGAAGAATTAAGCGTTTGGCTTTATACCAGCTAGGCAAGTTAGTCTGAAGGCCTGCTGCAATGTGCAGGTCTTTAAAATGAAAACCTTTGTCTCAGTAATATGAGCATATTGCTGGTACGTGAAGCCGACACGCACAAAAAAATTACTTACAAGCGCTAGAAAATAGAAGCTTTGGCATTTGCATGCCTGATCTCCTTCAACAGGTCTACAGGGAGAAGAAATATAATTTATTAGAGCTCATTTGGCTCAGCAACAATGGCTTCTTCAAAAAAACAACAAAAAACACACACACAAGGGGAAAAGAGAACATTGTAATTGAAAATAAGTGCCCTCTTTAGCGAATAAGCCTCCAGCGCCTGAGGCGGAGAGGAAACTACAACTGATGTACTACAAGGCATTACAAGAGTGCTGGGTGCTATAGCCAGCAATTATCCTGGTATTTAACCAAATCTATCGCTCATCAGCAAAGCGTTTAGTGCGGCAGTCGGAGCGAGACAGGCTGACATGGAGCACAGTTACTTAACTGTCCCCTGCAGCGATTATGCTTTTCCACAGCTCAAGAGTCATGTCAAATTAAACAACAACGCATTGACTTTTCGCTTCTAGAAACATTACGGTGTGATTGACAACTCGGGGATGCTGCAAGCTGGTCGGTCGCTAGAACCTGCCGCCAGAGGTTCTTCTTATTTGTGAGGCTGGCTTCCTCATCTTACCTCTTTTCTGGGGGAATTGCCTCCTGCGCTATTTTACAATCCTCTATCCCTTGAAGGCCCCTTATTATCAAGCGATATTCTCCTCCATGGGCTGGAGGAGCAGAAGCCACAATCTGCTTTCCAAACCAGACGCTCTTCCCTTTCCCAGATAATCCAGTTTGCCTCCGTTTAAAAAACCTTGTTGTTGCATCCAGTGCCCCAAAGCAGCCCCCTTCTCAATGGAGCTTGGAACCCTGAATTGCAAGAGAAGAGCAACAGCTACTGGTTCATCTTTTCAGGACGTTTCCTCAAATGGAATTTCCACGCTGGGTCCTCCAATTTCCCTAGGGTTGCCACAAGGGATAAATGCAGGGCCAACTGGCCTGAAGGTCTCTGGAATAGTCCTATACAGTACAAAAAAAACCACACACAAACCTATCCATATAGCAAGTATCCACAGGTAGGCAACGACTCTGGGATGCAAAACGTGCATTTAAAAAGCCATTTCCTTGGCTGTGTTTCTCTCTGTCGTACTCCAGGGAGCCAAGGAAATGGAAACTCGGGGCATGGCCATGTAGATGCAGGAATGCAGCTGTAAAATGCATATGGCGTCCAAAACGTATATGGAGGGCCAATCCAAGACTGGTCCCAGAGACCCTCTGCATAATCCAGAACCCCCTATTATTATTATTATTATTATTCTTCTTCTTCTTCTTCCAATAACCCCCCCAAGAGAGCCACATTTTAAAAGGTATAGAATAAGTCAGCCAAAGGCCTGGTTAAAAGGGAACGCTTTTGCCTGGTGTCTAAAGGTGTATAATGAAGGCGCCAGGCGAACTTCCCTGGGGAGAGCATTCCACAGATGGGGAGCCACTGCAGAGAAGGCCCCGTTCTCCTGTTGCCACCCTCCGCACCTCTTGAGGAGGGGGCACACGAAGGAGGGCCTCGGAAGATGATCTCAGGGTCCGAGTAGGGTCAAATGGAAAGAGGTGATCCTTGAGGTATTGAGGTCCTGAGCTGTTTAAGGCTTTATAGGTCAAAACCAGCACTTTGAATTGGGCCCAGAAACTAATTGGTAGCCAGTGCAGTTGGACCAGGATTTGTGCAGTATGTTCAGACCGTCTTGCTCCCGTGAGCAACCTGGCGGCTGAATTCTGCACCAGTTGAAGTTTCCGAACCGTTTTCAGAGGCAGCCCTACGCATTGCAGTAATCTAAGGCCGTGACCCTTTGGCTTGGAATGCCCATTTATGCCAGCTTTCATCTTTCATCTCTTGGGTGTCAATGCACTTCTGGCCTGGGGACACTCCTGTGCGCGAGCGCCTGCACACGGGAACACCAACCCGTCTAAGCCAAGGGGCCGATGCCCTTTGCCAGATGCCACCTCTGTTCAGAAGGGAGACTTGTCCCCACAAGAGGGCTTTTAGGCAGCTATGGAACGCCCTCTCCAGGGACGTATGCCTGGCATCAGCTTTATGGTGGTGGCCCTTAAAATTAACCCTGGGATTTAAAACACGCTATTTAAGACTCTCTGATTCTTGTGTGCACTTTTATCTGGGGTTGCTTTGTTTGTTGGTCTTAGGACTGCAAAAAATAAAGAAAAAATTTAAAAAATTGGACCCTGTGTTGATGAACGTATGTATAGGTTTCGAATGAATGCAAAAAATACATAGTGATGGAAGACCTGGACAGAGCATGGTCACCCAAAAAGGCTCAGTGCCATTTTGCACCCAACTTGGTTCCCTAGACAGGCTTACCTGTGCTGGTACCTGCATTCCAACAGCTCTCTTTATCTATCAGCGGCAGTTTGGCAGGCTAGAGAAAGAGAACAGTAGCTACACGGGATCATTGCCTAGCAAGGGTCCCACATTTGAGGCCCAGCAGCAGAGATCAGCATTGCTAAGCATCTGCTGAGAGCTATGGTTTGACTGAAGGTCCATCAGATACACCTTGCTCCCTCCCAAATTCCTACTGTTCCTCTACAACAGCCTTTCTCAACCTGTGGGTCCCCAGATGTTGTTGAACTACAACTCCCATCACCCCTAGCTAGCAAGGCCAGAGCTCAGGAATGATGGGAGTTGTAGTCCAACAACATCTGGGGACCCACAGGTTGAGAACCGCTGCTCTACACCTTCCTCACCCCCCTCTGCTCTCTCACCTGCCTGGCAGGTGGCGGTCGGAGCAGCAAGGCTCCTCCATGCTTCCACCTGTCACAGTCCCACCAGGTACAGAAAGAGCCAGCGAGGAGGCATCTCAACAGAGCCACCTGATGGACCTTCTCAGCACCATGGAAGGGTACACCATGGAGAGAGCTCAGCGAGGGCAGCGGCAAGAATGAGGCCCCCTGCACCCACAGGGAGAAGAGTGAGCCCACAAGCTCCTAGGTTTGTATAAGAGAGGGGGGCAATTGTGGGTCTTTCCCCTAGGGCTCACCCTGCTCCATCTGCCCCCCTCCAACTTCTTTTACACCTCCCAGCCTCTTGTCTTCTTTGGCTATCTCCCTGGAACCTGAGTTGGGAACGCAAGAGTCCAGCAACAACTCCCCACCCCCGCCGCAGGGTCTCCGGAAAAAATGCCACCCACTGCTGACACCTTGGTCTTCTTTCTCAGGCTCGTTTTAAAAACCACTCCTTCGTAGTCTGGGAAAAGAGCCCTCCAGGAATTCACAATGCAAAGCCAACCCCACATTTAGAAATTGTGAACCAAGTCTACTTCCCTATAAACTCACGTCCTTGCTGATGGTGGCAGGCCGTACTGAGTTAAATAATGAGGGTGAGTTTGGGACAGAGTCCAAAATCTACCTTAGCTTTCCTGACTTCTATACTTTATGTGGAAGGAAGAGAGAGAGAGGGAGAGAGTGCAAATCATGGAATGTGACTTGCCAATTTGATTTTAACCACCTGTTCAATAGGAAACTGAAAGACTATTAAAAAAGGCAAGTCATTCAAACACAGCGGAAAGCTTTTGTTTGGGTGGGAACAATGGAGCTAAAAAACACACACTTGCGTTTGAAGTAAAATGACTGAATCCCAAGATTTGCTGCACTGGAAAAACCATTTCTTTATAGATGAGATTGTACCAGCAGAGACTCGCCAGGCATGAAGTTATGTTAGGTTATGTACTGGGGGGCCCAGGTGCAGTTGTGATCTTAGGCAGCTGGTTCCCCAGGTAGCTTTTCAGGTGATATATAATTACACACATAATGAAAAGCCAATAAGCACACAATACACATCATACAGCGTAGCACCAAAGAAAATGCATGCACATATACAGATACATAGAAGAGATACATGTGCACCAACCCATAGGCGCATGCCTGCTTACAGATACATCTGAGCAAGGACAACGGTGTACGGGCCCTCTGGCATCTATGTACATATGGAAACTAAAGCACATTATATATTACCTAAATATATATAAAGCTAACTTTTTAGTCTTGGGAAAACAAAAGCTATCCTCATATAACAGCCAAATTCCTACATAACTCAATTTCGACATCTCATCTGGTGTGAACTGCACTCATTCCTAGTGTAAACCCCGCCGTGCTGTGCAATGATATACTGTAATGTCACCTCGCAATCTGGATTTACTATAAAGGGCTTCTGACGAGTTTCAGAGCAGTAAACATTGCAGCGAGGTGTATTTCACACTGAGCTGGTTTTTATGAAGAACACTTCACCGCCCAGCCACGGCACCCAGATGATGAATGGTGAAAGATGCATGACAAGCTTCATCATTGTTTGTAAATCTTAACTGTTCCTGCTCACTAACTCTGCAGGCAATTTTCAAAGACAGCGGCCGACAGAAGGACAGCACAGCTTTCCTGAAGGTTATTCAACTTGTTCTTGGCCTAAGCTCTGCCTCCTAGGAGCTAAGCACTGGAAAATAAACTTGCTGGTTACCAGAACCCCGGTATCAAGCAGGGTGCTAGGGAGAGCAAACTTAAGAAATGCCATCTCTAAGGTACCTTTGCAACAGACACTTCCATTGTCTTTTCGCTGCTTTTTTACTCAGCTAGTCTACAGGCACAACACAGTTCAAAATGTGCTAAGAGCAACTAAGGCCGGGCTAAGTGATTTTGTGCATCAGTCTTAAAACTGTCTGCACAAATTGCACAGCTGCCTCAAACTACTTGAATTGCCACTTTGGACATTGGTTATCCTTAGGCAACAACCCCTTTCATCTTCTATAGAGCATAGAAGACTTAACAGCAATTCAGCTTTGATGTCTTGAGTCAACAACACTTCCATCCAGACATGCAAGAAATCCAAGGGATTTTAGACCTTCCTCTTTTGTGTATCCCTTTGGGTTAACAGAGATGCTGAACTGAGTTAACAGCAACGGGGAGGGAATTGGATGCTGAGAAAAGCAGGAGCATGACTGGGATCTCAGGTATGAAGCAGAAGTGACTGCAAGCACCCAGGTAAAGGGACCCCTGACCATTAGGTCCAGTCGTGACCGACTCTGGGGTTGTGGCGCTCATCTCGCTTTATTGATCGAGGGAGCCGGCATACAGCTTCTGGGTCATGTGGCCAGCATGACTAAGCCACTTCTGGCGAACCAGAGCAGCGCACGGAAATGCTGATGTGCTTCCCGCCAGAGAGGTACCTATTTATCTACTTGCACTTTGATGTGCTTTTGAACTGCTAGGTTGGCAGGAGCAGTGACCGAGCAACGGGAGCTCACCCTGTCGCGGGGATTCGAACCGCCGACCTTCTGATTGGCAAGTCCTAGGCTCTGTGGTTTAACCCACAGCGCCACCCACGTCCCCTTGCAAGCACCCAGAGTCCCACATAAATGAGCTTGATTCCCAGATCATCACATGAAGGGTTGCTGATTCTAAGTAACAAAATAATGCCATCAAACCCATATGAAAATTGTTGTGTGATCTGCAGCTCCACCTTGCTTTTCCATATCAAACCTGGGAAGCCAGGGAGGCCCTGAACCACAGCTGAACATTGGTAATGGACTGGATGTGATTTAACAAACTGAAACTAATTTGTGGCAAGTCTAAAGCTGCTCTTGGTCAATAAGCCTTTTGATCCAATAATCAGATTTCAGCTTGATTTGGATGGGATTGCCCACCTCTTGAAAAATCACTTTTTTCCAGGATGACGAGGAACCGTTCATGAGAACTCTTTGGGTTCGGTCAGTCAACCAGCTACAAATCCACCTAACAGTTACCTTGTTCAACCCACATTTGACCAGCTTCCACATGAGAATATCATGGGGGACTTTGTCAAAAGCCTTACCGAAATCAAGATACGCTATGTCCACAGCATTCCCCTGATCCACCAAGTTTGCAATTCCATCATAAAAAGAAATGAGATTGGTCTGGCAGGACTTATTTTGAGAAACCTATGCTGGGTTTTAGTACTCACAGCATCCTTTGCCAAGGGCTCACAGACCAACTGTTGAATTTTCTGTTCCAGGACCTGGTATTGATGTCAAGCTCACCGGTCGGTAGTTACCTGGGTTATCTTTTCCCGTTTCTGAAGATGAGAACACTTGCCTGCCTCCAGTCTGCAGAGACCCCAACAAGTCATAAGTTTAATCTAAGATTCATGTATTGATGGTCACTGTGTTTTCAACAGGAACTGACTGTGGTCTCTTGTTAGTATTATTTTGACCGCCTCTTTCTTTTTTAATTACAATGCATCTCTCTCTCCCCCTTTCCTTCTTAAATCAGCAAATTTTATTTTTTAAACTCCTCTTTTAATTTATTCATTATCAAGGCTTATATCCTTTCCGTCATCCTAATGTCACAGGGCAGGTAACGTACCAACTTCACTGGCCGCTGGCCTGATTCTGGGTGAACTTCAAACTGATCATCTCGTCTCCTTTGCCACTCCTGCCCCTTTCCATGCAAACTTACAGCAGCATTAGTGATGGGAGAGTCTTGTAAGAAGCACATTTACTCGTAACGAAGGGGTCTGAAATCATGGCAAACGACATGGCTCTTGATGTCCTAATGAGGACATCAGATGCACTAGGAACCATGTTTCCCTAAATTAAGTTCCCTAAGCTTTCTTTTCCTTTTCTTCCTTTTACTGGGTTTTATAAACAAAAATAATGTTATACAAACAAGTATACCAAGTTTTCTCATGTCATTTGTATATCACAAAAATAGCATAAAAAATGTGGGAAAAGATCTACAACATATGTTTCATTAATGGTGGTCAATGTATAGGTTCTTGGTTCATGAATTGGTTTAAACTGTTACAAAGAAAGGAAGGAAGGAAGTTTGGTTAGGTTCCCTAAATTAAGGGTTATCCCCAGAACCAGATTTTAGCATGTAATGGCAGTCTCACTGCAAGACTTTCCATCGCCACTGATGGCACGTGTATTTGGGAGAGTGGAAAGAACTGGCCGAGCCAACGGGAAATTGACCTGAGGGGGGCGGCTACTGCTTTACACAAAGAGGTATTGTATTTTTCGCTTTATAAGACGCACAAGACGCATCTAGTTTTTGGAGGAAAACAAGAAAAAAAATATTCTGAATCTCAGAAGCCAGAACAGCAAGAGGGATCGCTGTGCAGTGAAAGCAGCAATCCCTCTTGCTGTTCTGGCTTCTGGGATAGCTGCGCAGCCTGCATTCGCTCCATAGGACGCACACACATTTCCCCTTACTTTTTAGGAGGGAAAAAGTGAGTCTTATAGAGCAAAAAAATACGGTATTTTCAGGATTTAAGCCTTTAAGTTTATTTTCCAAACCATTTGTTTCTGAAGTCTTTATTTGCCTCCCCTGTCTCTAAAAAGATGCCGTGGGTGGAAAGACCGTTGGCATGGCTATGGGACCACCAGATTCCCCACTCGGGACTGAGCCGCCATCGTTCTGTAATTAGAAAGCATCGTTTCCTTGGAAGCTACAAGATATAATAGCACAGTATAGAACCTTGTGTGAAAAAAGAAAGTCAGAAGCTTCTCACAAACTTCCCGCTATTCACAAAAGAAAAATATAAATCAGAGGGCGGCTTATATCTCCTCCCTATGATCGCAAACACACAGAGAGAGAGCATAAACAGGCAGTTAACTCAGCAGAACAACATTAATGAAACGGTAGGTCTAACGGTGCTAATATATGAACTGGCGAAGCCGCCATAAAACGAAAGTTACACCTCAGGATTCGGAGGCAAGTAACAGACTTTGTGAATTATGAAGAAAACGCCGTACACTTTGGTTATTAGCTGTGGTTTAAAGGACATTCCTCCCTCTCGTCTCCCTCTGTCAGATAAGAAATCTTGCTGCCTAATAACCACAGCGGCTGCAACACTTGAGGAATAGCGGGGGCTCAGAAGTATTTCTGCTGGAACACTGACTGCTTTTTCAGTTTGTGGGTCAGTATTTCTGCCCCATGCTGTTCCGACAAACACATCTTTGGGCAAATGTATTACTATAGGGAGAGAGCAAGAGAAGCAAAAATAAAAATAAAATAAAGGGTGCGATCGGGGCCACTGAGAGATATTTCTTATTGTCCCTCCCAAGTCAGGAACAAGGTTTGGGAAATGGGACGGGTTTGGCCATCAGCAAAAGAAAAACGAAAGTGACAGATGAAGTCCTATTCAGGAATTTCCCCCCACATAGATGAAGGAATAACAGAGGTGTTCTTCGCTGCCCTGAGCTGCCTCCGGGTGCAACTTACGGTAACTCTTATTTCCGCAGGGACATCATTAATTACGGTGATGTTCATATCAATGCACCCAAGGATCAGGTTGAATTCTGCACCCACTGAAGTCAAGTTAGCTAGGCAAGTTGACTTTTTAGGAGAGAACATGTTGTGAGTCAGACGACTCACCAAAGGAGCGTCTCCATCCCCATCGTTCTGGTTCTGCCTGGACACTGAGGTCCAGCGCCGAGGGTCTTCTGGTGGTTCCCTCCCTGCGAGAAGTGAGGTTGCTGGGAATCAGGCAGAGGGCCTTCTCGGTGGTGGTGCCTGCCCTGTGGAACGCCCTCCCATCAGATGTCAAGGAAATAAACAACTATCTGACTTTTAGAAGATGGTGCTGACCTTTAAAGCCCTAAATGCCCTCAGCCCAGTATACCTGAAGGAGCATTTCCACCCCCATCGTTCAGCCCGGACACTGAGGTCCAGGTTCGAGGGCATTCTGGTGGTTCCCTCACTGCGGGAAGTGAAGTTACCAGGAACCAGGCAGAAGGCCTTCTTGGTGGTGGCACCCACCTCCCGTCAGATGTCTAGGAGCGTCACAATATTCCAAAATACCTGAAGGAGCGTTTCCACCCCCATCGTTCTGCCTGGCCACTGAGGTCCAGCTCTGAGGGCCTTCTGGCGGTTCCCTCCCTGTGAGAAGTGAGGTTACAGGTAACCAGGCAGAGGGCCTTCTCGGTAGTGGCCCTGTGGAACGCCTTCCCATCAGACGTCAAGGAAATAAACAACCATCTGACTTTTAGAAAACATCTGAAGGCAGCCCTGTTTAGGGAAGTTTGTTATGTTTGATGTATTTATTGTGTTTTTAAAATTCTTTTGGGAGTCGCCCCGAGTGGCTGGGGAAACCCATCCAGATGGGCAGGGTATAAATAACAAATTATTATTATCATATTATTATTATTATGAGAGCTACAGATCTGGGGCAGAGCAATTTGCTTCATATGCACCAAGTCCCTATTTTGATCCCCAGCTGCTTCAGCTGGTGCCAGGAATGTCCCTGGAAGGTCGCTGCCAGTTTGAGTAGGCAACACTATGCTGCATGGACCAATGGTCTGACTCAGAATAAAGCAGTTCCCTATGTCCCATAGCCCTGTCTCAAGAGTGGGGAGCGTTTTTTACTTGGGGGGTTGCCCTCCCTTCTGGTCAACCATCCAAGGCCCACATTTCTGTGGTGGGCAGAGACAGAGGCTCGTTTCTGCACATGCAGAAATACTCTCATCCTCCTTGCGGACAAGCAAAAGGCGATGTTACAGTTTAAGGGCAGGGAGAGAGAGGCGGTGCATATTTTGAATGCTTTCATTTCGGTGAATGGTTTCTATGGGGTTCCACGGTCCCCGCTCTTCCACCTGAACGAGAAAGCCACTTCCGCCCTGCAAAGGAGGTGGTGTTACAGGCTTCATGCTCCCTCTGAGCAACTGGCGGCCGGGGATCTCCCTCTTTTGCCGCCTCCAGCTGCTCCAGTTTTCCCACCCTCCCACCCTTTAAGGTTTTCGTCCTTGACCTTGCTATGGACCTCGTTTGGTCGCCGTTGAGGGGCCTGGTAGGAATTTTTCCACTTGGCAAATTGGCACCAGCCACTTGGTTTTTGCCTACCTCGTAGCAAATCATCACAACTTTCTTGGTATTGGCGGTTAGGCGTTGGTATTATTCTGTAGATGGAAGAGGGGAGGAAGTGCCATCACCTGCCCCACATATCGAAGGGTAGTCCGATAAAGGATTCCGGGGGGCGTGGCCCTGTCCGAAGCCTATGGAGGTGAGGGCCTGAGGCACACCCCCAAGTGGTGACCCCGGGGGAGTTCCTAGTTGATGTGCATCAGCAGGACTCCCCCTACTACAGTGGTGCCCCGCAAGACAAATGCCTCGCAAGACGAGAAACTCGCTAGACGAAAGAGTTTTCCGTTTTTTGAGTCGTTCCGCAAGACGAATTTCCCTATGGGCTTGTTTCGCAAGACGAAACGTCTTGCGAGTTCTTGCAAGTTCGTTTCCTTTTTCTTAAAGCCGCTAAGCCGTTAATAGCCGCTAAGCCGTTAATAGCCACTAAGCCGCTGATAGCCGTGCTTCGCAAGACGAAAAAACCGCAAGACGAAGAGACTCACAGAATGGATTAATTTCATCTTGCGAGGCACCACTGTAGTGGTTAACCCTTCCCGGACTTCTAGTGGATGGACTAAAGCCGGATATAGTCGGTTAGGACCAATGCCTAAGCCAATACCGCTCATGCCTGTAACCAATAAAGTTGTGGCCTTATTTAGCCCATTAACCTTAATTATTGTGTCATGTGTCATTATTTCCACTGGGACTTGCCACACAACGCATTGTGTTGTGTTGTTTTAGGGAGCAGAGTGCACACAGACAGCACCAAAGAGATTTGTCTGGCTCCAAAGTGAAAAGGCGCAACATTTGTTTGAAATGATCCATGGGTTGGCAAAGAGGAAGGGCTATTAGGAGAACCATCAAAAAAGTGCGCCACGTCTTTTAATTCACACCCTTCATAATTGTACCTGAGCTTCTCATGCCGGCAGGTCCCCCAGCTATGGAAAAACACTCCGTCAGAGCTTGGAAAACACTGCTGGAGCTCAGTAAATTACATCTCCCAGCTTGTCCGCCGCTGATTGATGAGTGAACTTAGGGAACAATATCAGTATGTGGAATATCGTTTGAACGAGTGGTCAATAATGATTGAAAACAGGGCATTTTCTGCAGTTTACTAAGGCGCATGGCACACTTCTCCTCCGCCTAGAATCAAGGCCGCATTTGGGGAGGCATAAATGTACTTTTAAAAGCCCCCAACCACTTCTTGTTTAAAAAAATACCTGATTAGAAGAGGAATTTAACAGGTTAGTAGGAAGGGGAAATACCACGGCAGCCGAAGGGATGCCTTTGTTTTTGGACCACAATTTGATCTGCTGGATTATCTGCTTACCATTTGCTTTTGTTTCAGAGAAAGAGGGGCTCTCCTCAAAGGTGAAAATCTGGGGGACACAGGCAGGAGCCCCAACGCTCTGCCCCAAGTAGGAGCTGGAAGGATAGTAAGAATGCATTCTGTACTGGGAACTCACACCATGGCGGTTTTCTGGGCTTTTCACCTGGTTAGAGAAAATCAAGAAGAAAATAATGCCTGTTAAGCCAATCAGAAACAGGAGAACAAAAATGGAGTTACTTTTAATGCCCCCCAACATAATCTTTTGGTCACCAGGTGGAACACTGTATTTTTCTTGCACTCAATTCGTAATTGAAACTGTCAGTCTGAGAACCCCTTGTGCCTGGAAAACTCAATTTGCTCCCTGCAAAAAGTCATTGCCAGGGTTGGTGTTCTAATTTTCTGAAAGGGTTTTCAAGCTAGAAAGAGATGCTGTTTTCCCCAGAGCTAGGAAAGGAACTAGTGCAAGTTCAAGACATCCCAAAAGGGAAATAATTCCAGTTCACAGTCGTCCCTCTATGGAATGAACCAGTTCGATTCACCTTCAGTTCATGGTTCAATTGAAGCTCATCCAAACCAGGCATAGGCAAACTCGGCCCTCCAGAAGTTTTGGGACTACAACTCCCATCATCCCTGATCACTGGTCCTGTTAGCTAGGGATGATGGGAGTTGTAGTCCCAAAAAACATATGGAGGGCCGAGTTTGCCTATGCCTAATCCAAATGATCCTTGATAATTTATTTCCAACATTCAGAATTGTTATAAGCTGCTTTATGAAACATACTTAAGAAGACAAAGAAAAGATCAAAACATAAACACAGAAGAATGTGAATTGTTTTACTTTATTTCCCCCAACCGTTACGATCTTTAGGATTAGAGGCCCAAAGATTCTGAAGCTTAAGAAACACATGGAGAGATGAACCAGAAATTGTTTTAACTTCCACCCCAAAACGAACTAAATTTATGTTCCATTCACTTAGCATTTACGGGAACTACTTTGAACTGGAAAGTTTTTTTTTAACTAATTCAGAAAACTTGGTTAAAAACGAAGCAGTTGATTCCAAGCACTGATTACGTTTCCCTGTCTACTGTGGTCAAATGACAGCATTATTACAGCTCAAAGGTTTTGCAAGCTTTGGTAGTAGTGATTCTGAAATGTGCAATGCTTGCTTGACCAAAATTACCTGTGATGCAAAAGAAAAGGGGCTGTGTACATCAAGATATTCTGTTCAGGCCACAGGGCAAGAAAGCAGGTTGGTTGTCACAGCACCACAAAGGGATTCTGGTTGTGGGAATATTCAGGATGGCAGGAGAGGATATATTGCTTATTAATATCCTTCCTAACTTGCGCTAGCAAGTTCCTTTACTTAGCAGAGTTTACATTCCCCTTTTAACATGCACAGCAGACAGCTGGTTGCAGGCTCATGTGAGCCTCTGACTATTATACAATTCACTCTGTCTCAGATTGAATTGTACATTCTTGGTAAGTTCCCTTGAATCCCTCTTAAAAAGAATAAAGACGCCACAATCTTATTCAAAGTGAATACAAGAAGTTTACTCACATCAGTTCACGGTTGGATCCCCGAAGGCAGACTTAGTTACAAATATGTACATGTGGATCTACCCCATATGGGGGAATGATCCCAGTGCTTCTGCTAGCTGAGAGCTAGCAGAGCAGTCCTAGCTAGAAGTTGGTCAAACGAAAAAGGAAGTCGAAAAGAGGGAGGACTCGTCCTTTTGTTACCTGGACAGGTAAGGTCACGCCCACCTTCTATCACATGCAAAAGGAACGATGCTCCAGCCAGGAGGAACAGGAAGTTTTGACTGGCTGGACCAAACATTCCCTCGTGTGTCTTCTCTAGCATTACAAGGAATGTTGTACTTGACTGCCTCTCATGGATCACATCCCACACTGGTGGGTGAAAAAGGATGGAAGCAAACTGAGGCCTTTGGATTGAACTGCTGGCCCCGTCCATGCCAAAGCTTATTTGATGTTTGCAGTTAGACGTGCACAGTCCACACAAATGGAAAAGCAAAGACTAAGAACACCAGCTGAAGAACAACTGGAACCCACTGAGCTCTTTGAAGGCATCTTTATTCTTTTTAAGAGGGATTCAAGGGAACTTACCAGGAACGTACAATTCAATCTGAGACAGACTGAACTGTATAATAGTGAGAGGCTCACACGAGCCTGCAACCAGCTGTCTGCTGTGCATGTAAAAAGGGGAATGTAAACTCTGCTAAGTAAAGGAACTTGCTAGCCTTGAAGGCAAGAGTCCCAACCCTTAAGTTCACCCCCCCCTCCATGTATGTACACAGCCTGTCCTCTGTTGCGATGCTTCCACATTACACAATAACTCTCTGCACAGGTTGGTTTTTCAAGCCTGCTCTCCGTGCCATGATCTCTCTTTACTTTCCCCCACCATCCATCCCCTAAAAATAATCACTGGACAAGGACAATATAATTTTAGCATCTATTAAATGGCCCCCACTAGCCACTGGTGCTGAAAGGAGGTCTGGTTTGTTTTCCTTCTCCAGAGGATGTGGGCAATGACCTGTTTCCTTTCAAGCCTTCTTGTTTTCCTCTCATCTCACCCATTCCTTAAAAAAAAAAACCCACCTAAAATCCCAGGACCCAATGAATTATTACAACTATTATTATTAGTACGTGGTCGCTGGCTAGCAAGAGACATGTTTTATAATCTTATTACCCGCACCAAGTCTGTGAACCACGGTACGACCGACAGACGGAGGCTAGGCTCTGCAAACAATATGCGCTGGATTAACCACTGGAGAAAATCTAGAAAGCTTTAGGCTTTGTTTTATTAAACTGTTTAGAATATATACCACAGTAAATCTGAGCCACAAGGTTTCCTTTTTATAGAGCTTAGCTACCCTGTTTTATAGTAACAGTAAAGAACAGGCGAGACATAAAAATGCTTGACCTTAGCTCTGCATTACAAAGGGGACCAGAAAGATCATTTGCCCAATGAAGATGACGGGAGTCGCGTCTTTTAGCTCCAAAACGCACTGAGCATCCTTGCCCTCGTGTGCTACGGGGTGTATGTGTGTCCCCAAAAATACACCACTGATTCTGGTGGCGAGGGAAGAGGGCAAAAAGATCTGAGCAGGGAATGAGTAACTGTGACTCTTTTCAGAATGAGAAACTGTGCGCTGATGCAAATCTTCCCAATGTCCCTTGTTATAGACTTCTTCTAGGTTCATGTTCCACAGCCAGGATGGACCTGAGACCAATGGAAAGCTGGACTTGTTGCATGCCCTCAGGGGCATTAAAACACGTGCGCATACTCATAATAGGTGTGCCTTAGTCTTGCTGCATGTTCTTTGCCTCCCAAAGGAAATGCATCTGTTGTTCATGACTTCCTGGTCCTGAATGGGGTAACTGAAGGAACAAGTGCACAGCCTGGGAATCATTTTGGACTCACAGCTGTCCATGGAGGCGCAGGTCAACTCTGTGTCCAGGGCAGCTGTTTACCAGCTCCATCTGGTACGCAGGCTGAGATTCTCCCTGCCTGCAGACTGTCTCGCCAGAGTGGTGCATGCTCTGGTTATCTCCCACTTGGAATAATGCCATGCGCTCTACGTGGGGCTACCTTTGAAGGTGACCCGGAAACTACAACTAATCCAGAATGCGGCAGCTAGACTAGGAACTGGGAGCGGCTGCCGAGACCATATAACACCAGTCCTGAAAGACCTGCATTGGCTCCCAGGACGTTTCCGGGCACAATTCAAAGTGTTGGTGCTGACTTTGAAAGCCCTAAACGGCCTCGTCCCGGTAGACCTGAAGGAGCGTCTCCACCCCCATCGTTCTGCCCGGACACTGAGGTCCAGCACTGAGGACCTTCTGGCGGTTCCCTCACTGCGAGAAGCAAAGCTACAGGGAACCAGGCAGAGGGTCTTCTCGGTGGTGGCACCTGCCCTGTGGAACGCCCTCCCATGAGATGTCAAGGAAATAAACAACTACCTCACTTTTAGAGGACATCTGAAGGTAGCCCTGTTTAGGGAAGTTTTTAATGTTTGATATCTTTTTTTTATTACTATTATTAATATTCTGTTGGGAGCCACCTAGAGTTGCTGGGGAAACCCAGCCAGATGGGCGGGGTATACATAATATATTATTATTATTATTATTATTATTATTATTATTATTATTATTACATGCGCCTGATGCTGGGAGTGGAGAGAATTGCTAGTCCCTGCGCTCATTCTCTCATAGTAGGGCAGGTTGCAAGGCTGGCATCTCCTTTGCTGATTCTGGAAAAATCCCAATTCTTCATTAACTGAGTCCGCAGGATTATCACAGTCAGACGCAGTCGATGCGTGGCAGCTTTCCCACACCCCAAAGCAGTGCCCTTTCTCATAGGTTAACTTGGGGTAGCTAACACCCAGCCTGCAGGCCTGATAGCCCCCTCTCCACAAATCTCGCTCCCCCACACCCCGCAAGACTTCACTGATTTGGTCAAAACTAGAAAATTACGGAGACACAGTGTGGAGGTGGACAGAGACGTTTCAACCTGTCCACCTAGTCCAAGACCCCAATGAGATATGCAAAGAGTCCCCTTTCCCAGTCATTGGATTGATAAGGTTGCAGGTTCTATTCCTGTGTCAAAGGGGGTTGGACTAGATGATCGCTGGGGGACCCTTCCAACTCTACAATTCTAAAATTCCATGATGTGTGTGCTTGGACAAGGATATGGAGCAGCCACCACCGGCATCCAGCCTCTGAAAGGCTGGCCAAGGCTAAATGCAGCCGCCAAGCAAAATAAATAAAATAAAATAAATTAGGCACCCCAGAGTCATTGAAACCGTGGGTCACTCAGAGCTTCAAAAGTTGGAATTTCCTGTGTTAAATTATGCTAAATTATTACTGCTAAGAACTGTGTGGAGCCACCAAATTTTAATCCTGAGACCTACCGGCAGACCTTTCCACCGTGAGGGGGGAAATAAATAAATGGTGACCTCCCCACCGTCTCCCTTGAATTCCAGGGTGGAAAACGCAAGCGCCATCTATATCTGTCCCCCCGTGATAGACAAACTTAATTAACCTTTGCTATTCTGTTCCAACCTACTGTTTAAGACAAAAGCGTTGACCCACAAACAATATGTTACCATCAGAATCTCAACTGCCGTGACATCAAGAGATATGGCCCTATCAGCACTATTGGAAAATAAACAGCCTAGATTAGCTTCCCCAAGAAATATGGATTATATTCATGTCACACTTGAGCTGTCAGAAACATTAGGTTACTTTTAGCATAAATCTGTATTGTGAAGGCTATAGCTTATAAATACAATGTAGGATTACGCTGTTGGCATGGCAAACCCAAAGCATTTTTAGATTCGCAACAGAATCCTGCAATAGCTGAATTTCTTATATAGCTCAGTTTCTTAAATTTGGACAGGCCTTTTTTTCCCTAGACTGGTCAAGGGTGGTTAAAAAGCAAAATCTGTTTCGCACTCAAATGACAAATTAGCCTTCAAGCACTCTCTGTTGTCCCCTTTATTCACACAAAAGCACACTTCATAAAAATAAAAATTAGATGCAAGCCCTTTCAGGATATGGGCCAGGTTCGTATTTTGGAGGGAACCATGGTTAACAGCTAACCCTGGGTGAGGAGATCCTTCCAACTTCACTCCTCCCCCCGGAAAGAGCACAGCAGCAAGCCACGATCCTTGGCTTTGCACCGTGTCCAAACCAGGGTTCACCAGTTTGTTGTTGTTGTGTCGTTTAGTTGTGTCTGACTCTTCGTGACCCCATGGACCAGAGCACGCCAGGCACTCCTGTCTTCCACTGCCTCCCGCAGTTTGGTCAAACTCATGCTGGTAGCTTCAAGAACACTGTCCAACCATCTCATCCTCTGTCGTCCCCTTCTCCTTGTGTCCTCCATCTTTCCCAACATCAGGGTTTTTTCCAGGGAGTCTTCTCTTCTCATGAGGTGGCCACAGTCTTGGAGCCTCAGCTTCAGGATCTGTCCTTCCAGTGAGCACTCAGGGCTGATTTCCTTCAGAATGGATCGGTTTGATCTTCTTGCAGTCCATGGGACTCTCAAGAGTCTCCTCCAGCACCAGAATTCAAAAGCATCAATTTTTTGGCGATCAGCCTTCTTTATGGTCCACCTGTCGATCGCGGTCGATCGGTTGGACGTGTCTGCCTTAACAGCAACTCTAACCTCTGGAAATAAGTCACCGTCTAAAGGTAAAGGGACCCCTGACCATTAGGTCCAGTCGCAGACGACTCTGGCGTTGCGGCGCTCATCTCATCTCATTTACTGGCCGAGGGAGCTGGTGTACAGGTCATGTGGCCAGCATGACTAAGCCGCTTCTGGCGAACCAGAGCAGCGCACGGAAATGCCGTTTACCTTCCCGCTGGAGCGGTACCTATTTATCTACTTGCACTTCGATGTGCTTTTGAACTGCTAGGTTGGCAGGAGCAGGGACCGAGCAACGGGAGCTCATCCCATTGCAGGGATTCGAACCGTCGACCTTCTGATCAGCAAGCCCTAGGCTCTGTGGTTTAACCCACAGCGCCACCCGCGTCCCATAAGTCACCGTCTAGATTTCCACAAATCTAGTAAAGAGGTCTCCAGAGGAGCCCCATGAAATGGAGATGCCCCCTTTGGTCACACGAATATCCCTTTCCACTCATTGCAGCCCTCATTGTGGACATTTTTGGAGACTCCTGTTGGAGGACTCTAAGGAGGGCAGAGGTGAGGAGGGCAGCATTTTCTTCACTGGGGAGGCAACTACTTTCAGAGACCACACTCCAAAGCGCTTAAAAGGATGCCGGTGGTGTTTTTTTAAAAATCCTTCACACACAAGTTGTTTAGGTCAACAAGCTCAACACCTCTTGTAATTAACAATGTAATATATCTCTCGGTACAGCCAATTAATTTTTCATTTTCGCTTTCCGTGGCAGTTGTTTTGCATTTTCTCCCTAATCACTGCCGCAGGAAGGAAATAGAGCTACCCAAAAGGGAACATGATGATTTATATTTGTGTTGGTTTTTTTTTATCATGTTACATTTAAAACATAAAGCTTCAGAGTCTTAATTCATAGCCATCTAGTAATCCAAGGTTTAATGTCACAACCTTTCGGACTCCCTTTTCTTTGCCCTCTGTCCTTGGCTAGAAGAGAAACTTATTAAAGCTTCTACAATAATAAAGGTCATCTGCAGGGGAGACCTGACAGTTGAACCTCAAGGATAAAACTTTCAGCAGAAGGATCCAGAATTCCTATTTGGGTAAGCTTTCTGAAGCTTACTTAAAGGATTCCTGACTGCAGAACTGCGTGAAGATCCACATCACACATTGAAAGCATATGGTGTGTGTCCCCCCCTTTAAGGATTCTGGGAACTGTAGTTTGTTTGGGGTGTTGGGAAATGTAGCTCTGTGCTTTAAATATGTGTTGGATGTGTTTTAAAGGTGTGTGTTTTCTCTAAGGCTGCATACCCTGCAGAGGTTATCCCACAACACCTATTTCTGACAGCAGCTGAATGGACAAAAAGCATTGGAAAGAGATGTATTTCTAAGCCTACCACTTGGTTTTTGGAAACTGGGCAACTAACCCAGGGGTCAGCAAACTTTTTCAGCAGAGGGCTGGTCCACTGTCCCTCAGACCTTGTGGGGGGCCGGACTATATTTTTTTGGGGGGAAATGAATGAATTCCTATGCCCCACAAATAACTCAGAGATGCATTTTAAATAAAAGCACACATTCTACTCATGTAAAAACATGCTGATTGCCGGACCGTCCGCAGGCCGGATTGAGAAGGCGATTGGGCCAGATCCGGCCCCCGGGCCTTAGGTTGCCTACCCCTGTAACTACAGGAGAAGTTAGTAGACCATAAGCCAAGAAGACAGAAAACAAAACTTTCCCTACAATCAGAGCGACTGCTCATTGCCTTTGGTGAAAGGCGTTTGACAACAGCTACCAAGCCCAATAAATATAATATCACGGCTGACTTAATACTTTGACATAATGTGACTCTTTTAAAAAACAACAAATTATCTCCTATCTCCCTGTCTCTTTGCTACTTACTTATTTATAGGTTTGAGTTAGATGCACATTATCTATTTTATATTGTAACAAATATGGTAGATATTTATAGGCCACTTTGTAGTAATTGCTTATGTGTGAATCCTCTTCCCTGAGCATATGGGGCATGCTGCGTTTTCTTTAAATGACACCTGAACAAATCTTCGTTTATTTGTAAACTAAAAAAACAACAAATAGCAAATGGACCCTGAGATACAGTCACCCTGGATGCTTATCAGAGAGATCTGAAATCGTATAAACCGAGGGTTGCCAACCCAGCACCCATGGGTGCCATGACACCCATGTAGACCTTTACCGACACCCCTGGGTGGAAGGCTCTATATTTTGAGCTTTCGTTTTTCTAAAAATGTACGGCTCTTGCCCTCCTAGAAAGAAAGTTATGAAGCAAAATGTGCAGGCACCCTTCTGAGCAGTTGGTGCAAAATGAGAGGTGCCAGGCTGGCTGCTCTCTGCCAGTGTTTTTAGCCAATCTGAAACCAGAGCCATGATATGACAGGAGAGTTATTTGGAATCCTAAAAAGCTGTTGTTTCTGACCCCTTTAAAATACTTTTCCTGATTCTGTCTTATTTTTTAGCAACCCCTAGAACTGCCTGCTGGACCATAAAGAAGGCTGATCGCCATTTTAGGTTTAATTACAAATGATATTCCCGAAAATCAAAGGAAAGTATTCCTTTATGCAACAACAGCTGCCAGGATGCTTATAGCAAAAAACTGGAAAGGGAGGAAAATTCCATCAGTGAAAGATTGGCAAATTAAATTTTGTGAATACATAAATCTGGCAAGACTCACAGCATTCATAAGGGGACAATCGGACCAGAAATTATTAAAAGAATGGAGTTGTGCTAAAGAGTATATGAAAAACATTGTTCAGGAGGAATTATATTGGTATGTAATGAATGATGCTTTACAGGGTTAAAGAAAAAAAAATGGTGAAAAAAAAAAAAGTACAAAGATGGAAGTAATCTAACCAGACACAACAATATAGTAAGAGTAAATTTTTTGAGGTTTTAGAACAAAGGAAGGAAGTCAATATGTGTAAATGTACGTAATGATATGGTTTTTTTCTGTAGATGTGTGCTTTTTTGTTTTTGTTTAGTTTTGTTTTGTTTCCTTTGCTTTTTTTCTTTTTCTTTTCTGTTTTTTTTTGTATGTTCCGTTTTGTTTGTTTGTATAGTATTATTTTGGATTCAATGTTTGTAATTTTTGTTATGATTCTGCATTGAAAATAAATAAATAAACTCTTTTTAAAAAAAAGAAGGCTGATCGCCGAAGAATTGATGCTTTTGAATTATGGTGCTGGAGGAGACTCTTGAGAGTCCCATTGACTGCAAGAAGATCAAACCGACCCATTCTTAAGGAGATCAGCCCTGAGTGCTCACTGGAAGGACAGATCCTGAAGCTGAGGCTCCAATACTTTGGCCACCTCATGAGAAGAGAAGACTCCCTGGAAAAGACCCTGATGTTGGGAAAGATTGGGGGCACAAGGAGAAGGGGACGACAGAGGACGAGATGGTTGGACAGTGTTCTCAAAGCTACCAGCATGAGTTTGACCAAACTGCGGGAGGCAGTGGAAGACAGGAGTGCCTGGCGTGCTCTGGTCCATGGGGTCATGAAGAGTCGGACACGACTAAACGGCTAAACAACAACAACAACAACAGAACTGCCTGCAATTTCCGTTTTCTTCCCCTATCAGCCAGGATGCATATTTCTCTAAGTAAGCAATCCATACCATACCTGCCACTGGTTTCCTGACTGGCTTGACATATAGGTCGCTGGGAGGCTCCGGAGGCTGTTTTTAACAGGGGACCCCACCAGTGGGCCCCCCATATCCCCAGGAGTGGCTTCGCTGGCCACAGCCATCTGGTACTGGGAGTAGTTGTAGAGGTTGTTGTAGTAAGGATACAGGGAGGGCTGGTAGAAGCTACTGTAGTAAGTGGAGTCCACGACCAAGTCGGAGGCGCTCTCCAGGTGACCTCTGCTGGCCAGGGAAGGAAGGTCCGGGATCAGCATCCGGCCCTCTGCAAAGAACAGGGCAGGGAGGGAAAGAGAGTCGTTAGGAAACAGCAGGAGCAGCTGGCAAAATACCACTTCTGATCTCTGAAGCGCATTTCAAATTTGCAGAGAGAAAGGCTTGGCAGGAGCAGATGGGAGGGAAAGACGACTCAAAAGACAGGGCAGAACCAGAGGGATGCGATGAAACAGACCTGCTCCATGCCCCTTCAGATGTCAAAGGAAGGAAGGAAGGAGGGAGGGAGGGAGGGAAGAAAGAAAGAAAGAGGAGGGAGGGAGGGAGGGAAGGAAGGAAGGAAGGAAGGAAGGAAGGAAGGAAGGAAGGAAGGAAGGAAGGAGGGAGGGAAGGAAGGGAAGGAAGGAAGGAAGGAAGGAAGGAAGGAAGGAAGGAAGGAAGGAAGGAAGGAAGGAAGAGGGAGGGAGGGAGGGAGGGAGGGAGGGAGGGAAGGAAGGAAGGAAGGAAGGAAGGAAGGAAGGAAGGAAAGAAAGAAAGAAAGGTGAGTGAAGGGAGGGAGGGAGGGAGGGAGGGAGGGAAGAAGGAAGGAAAGAAAGAGGAGGGAAGGAGGGAGGGAAGGAAGGAAAGAAGGAAGGTCTTCTCACACATTACAAACAGGATGCAATGAAACAGACCTGCTCCATGCCCCTTCAGATGTCAAAGGAAGGAAGGAAGGAGGGAAGGAAGGAAGGAAGGAGGGAGGGAGGGAGGGAGGAAAGAAAGAAAGAAAGAGGAGGGAGTGAGTGAAGGAAGGAAGGAGGGAGGGAGGGAGGGAGGGAGGGAAGGAAGGAAAGAAAGAGGAGGGAAGGAGGGAAGGAAGGAAGGAAGAAAGGAAGGAAGGAAGGAAGGAAGGAAGGAAGGAAGGAAGGAAGGAAGGAAGGAAAGAAGGAAGTTCTTATCACACATTACAAACAGGGTCACTGGCAATCATTCTGCACTCCTCAGTATTATTTATTATTGTTGCGGTCTTATCCTGCCTCCACCGCAAAGAGCTCAAGGCGGCGCACTTATGTGACATCCGATGCCCTTTTTAAATGTGGGGGTGGCTATTGGGTTGTTTTTGTTTTTAGTTTGATTCAGTATTTTGTGTTTTCATATTGTGATTTTGTCTTGTGAACCACCCTGAGACCTGCAGTTATAAGGCGTTAAATAATAATAATAATAATAATAATAATAATAATAATAATGGCCCGGTTTTATCCTCACAACACCTCTGGGAGGCAGGCCAGGCTGAGACACGGTGTCTGGCTCCTGGTCACTCAATGAGCATCATTGGTGAAAAACCCTGCTGCCATGTAATGGAATATACTGCTGCCCCCTCTTTTCAAAATTGAGTATCATTCTTCTACCCTAAAGGTTCTCAGTAAGAAATTTAGCTTTTTTATATATAGATGGGTTACATCCATCCGTTGATTTCAGCTGGATTTCCAAAGACTGGCACCATCTGATCCAAACAAGGAAATGCACTATGGGAAAACAACAAGTCTCACACATCAATCCTAGAAATCAGCACTTTGGGTGGACAGTTCACTTCCTTTGGGTTTATATGTTCAGGCACAGAAAACTAACCCCATTTAGTTAAAGAATCATGTAATACATAAAAACAGCAAGCAGCCTTAATATTAGTTCTGATTCAAGTTTACAAATACCGGTTCACATAAAACCTACCACCTAGGGCAAATACACCTGAGGGGCTTCATGCAAGTCAGGTTGGATTTGATTTAAATCAAATCAATTTAAATCACAATTTAAATCACGATTTAAATCATTAGTCAGTAAGACTTGATTTTATTTTCTTTCTTTTTTTTACAGAAAGACTCATTCTTGCTGGTATAATCTTAATATTTACAACCAGACGAAGGTTTCATTTTTGGAATAATCAAATTTCAGAGTAGTTTTTACAGTTATATCAAAAAGTACTGATTTGGTTATACAGTGGTACCTCGGGTTAAGTACTTAATTCATTCCGGAGATATGTTCTTAACCTGAAGCACCACTTTAGTTAATGGGGCCTCCTGCTGCTGCCATGCTGCCTGAGCACAATTTCTGTTCTCATCCTGAAGCAAAGTTCTTAACCCAAGGTACTATTTCTGGACTAGCGGAGTCTGTAACCTAAAGCGTCTGTAACCTGAAGCGTCTGTAACCCGAGGTACCACTGTACTATTAGAAGTACATTGACAGGTAATTATGAAATTATGGTGAGGTTTAATAAGTTAACTTTATATTTGGACAACTTTTCTGCTGTATTTTATTGGAAAGAGAAAAATAATCAATAACATTATAGCATATGTATCCATATTTGTTAACTGATGTGGTTAAACGTGTATATATATATATATATATATATATATATATATATATATATATATATAACTTAGGCTGAGTTTTAGCACACATGAAAAACTTAAAACATTCTTTCCTGATGAATAGCCTTTGGACTATAATGAAACTTAAATAGACAACTATCTTTAGAAAGATTTTTCCTCCGAGAGTATTTTATTTTAAAAATCCGATTTAAATTTTTTTAAAAAAATATCCAATTTGAATTTTTAAAATCCCATTTTTATTTTTTTAAAAATCATTGATTTTTATCCACCCTGATGCAGCTGGGGAAATCTTGCAGGGAGCAAGACAAAGCTCTCTCCAAAACAATCCGTTCAGACCTCTGGCAAGAGGGACTTGCCCTTCCCCTAGGAGCCCACTGGGAAGGGAGAGAAAGGCGAGGAAAGGGAGTGGTCCCACCAAGTGCTAGAATACGACCACTGACGGATTACCTCAAAGGGATCATGACCTTCAACCAGCATTTGCCAGCCACCTTTTGCACCAGGCCATCAGCCGCTGGCAACCAAGAGAAGATGCCTGGGTACCAGGATGAGGCCTGATGTCTCCACTGTCTGGAGGCGCATGCCTGGGCATTCTTGGGTCTTGCCTGTTTTCACACACAAGCAACACATCCTGTAGAATTTGAGTCGTGATATTTTATCTGCACAACCAGAATGAATTTCAGGAACCAAAAAAGTCCTATGGAAAAATACGACTTTTGGTCGTATTGGTCCCAAAAATGGCAACTAGGCATTCATCACCTTGCCAACAAAGGTCCGTATAGTTCAAGCTATGGTTTTCCCAGTAGTGATGTATAGAAGTGAGAGCTGGACCATAAAGAAGGCTGATCGCCAAAGAATTGATGCTTTTGAATTATGGTGCTGGAGGAGACTCTTGAGAGTCCCATGGACTGCAAGAAGATCCAACTGATCCATTCTGAAGGGAATCAGCCCTGAGTGCTCACTGGAAGGACAGATCCGGAAGCTGAGACTCCAATACTTTGGCCACCTCATGAGGAGAGAAGACTCCCTGGCAAAAACCCTGATGTTGGGAAAGATGAAGGGCACAAGGAGAAGGGGACGACAGAGGACGAGATGGCTGGACAGTGTTCTCAAAACTACCAGCATGAGTTTGACCAAACCCGGAGGCAGTGGAAGACAGGAGTGCCTGGCGTGCTCTGGTCCATGCGGTCACGAAGAGTCGGACACGAGTAAACGACTAAACAACAACAACAACCCCGGTTTAAGGAGCCATTTGGCACCTAGCTTATATATTCCGAGTTTCTAACACTGCCTTCAAGAGAAGAAAGGTTTCCCGATCCAGTTATAAATGAATCATATGAACATGTTCAGTAAGGTGTTGGGATTAGATGCCATTTTCTATTTTTTTTAATATTGCACACCCCAGGTTGCTGGTGCTTTGCAAGTCTGTGTTGGGTTTGATCTCTTTTTGCATACGTTCAGGCATGACGTCACCAAACTCTAATATAATTTGATGAAAGCCCTTTGAGAAAACATGGAGGAGAGAGGAACTTCTTTTTGCTTCCTCTTTTGAGGCAAACTGCAGCCCCATATTAGTAATGCATTAACTCCTAAAATGTCAATACTGCAATGTATTAAATATTTCAACAAAAATGCCACAGTTGAAATTAAAGGCCTTCTGCAATCAATAAACAAATCACTCCAGGCAACTTGTGGCTAATTCGCTTGCCATAAATCAAGATACTATATGCAGCGTGAGGACAGCATAGTATTTCAAGGCTAGCCCAGGGCTTGAAAAGTGCATAGCAAGGCAACATAAATTATGAGCAATCTAAATATTCTTCCTTTCCAGAAAAAAGCTGGAGAACTCTCCGTTTGGGAAAGAAATAGACAATAGAGGGATAAATACAGAAATGCATAAACTGCAACACAACAAACAGGGATTAAAAACTGTTGCTTCACAAAATAGTCAGGTTAAATACATGCGCTAGAGATCCCAGGCCCTGAGCTCTCAAGAGAAGCCGTTTTGGAGGGCCTGCCCGTGAACTCAGACAGGGCCTTTTCTGTGGTGGTGCCTTGCCAATGGAACTCCCTCCCACCAGGATGCCGATACATGAAGGCTCATCTCTTCACCCGGGGAGTTGGGGACATTAATTGCCGCTGCCAATTCGAAATGGGGTCTGTTTCCTGCTGTTGGCTTGGTATGGTTTTTAGCCCTGGTTTCAACATGTTATTGAGCTTTATACTTTTTTATAGTTTTAATAATGATCCCGGGCAGCATAGAAATATACTGAATGGCTAACACATCTGAAAACAAACCAGTTCACAGATGTCACAGATGGGGAGAAAACCGTAAAAGAGATTAAAGCTTCTGAGATCAGAGGGAAGCTTTAAGTTTCATTTGTTCATTTAATGCATTTATATGTAGCTTTAAAATTCAGGGTTCTGGGCAATGAAATTTGCACAGAAATAGAAGGGAGATCTTTGGTCAGGCATAGGCAAACTCAGCCCTCCAGATGTTTTGGGACTACAACTCCCATCTTCCCTGACCACTGGTCCTGTTAGCTAAGGATGATGGGAGTTGTAGTCCCAAAACATCTGGAGGGCCGAGTTTGCCTATGCCTGTCTTTGGTGTTGTTGATTTTATCAATAAAGTAAAATAATAATAATCAAGATTTCAGACTGGCTTCATTATTATCAAATAATGGAGGCATTTAAATTAGACAGGAAAATTGGCTTCCAGGTGGAAAAATCAAAATTAGAAACAGAATTGTTAGAACCCAATACTAAGAATCTGTCAAGAATGTATAACTTGCTGCTGAAATGGAATACTCAAGATGAAACGGTAAAATCGGCTATGATTAAATGGGCACAGGACGTAGGACATAACATTATGTTTGCTGACTGGGAACAGTTATGGACCACTGGTATGAAATTTACGGCATGTAATGCCTTAAGAGAGAATATTATGAAAATGATATACAGGTGGTACATAACCCCAGTCAAGCTTGCGAAAATCTATCACTTGCCCGATAACAAATGTTGGAAATGTAAAGAAACTGAAGGTACATTTTTTCACCTTTGGTGGACGTGCCCAAAGATTAAGGCTTTCTGGGAAATGATATATAATGAATTAAAAAGGTATTTAAGTATACCTTCCCTAAGAAACCAGAGGCCTTTCTCCTGGGCATAGTGGGCCAAATGGTGTTAAAAAGGATAGAACTTTCTTTATGTATGCAACAACAGCAGCAAGAATACTCATCGCAAAGTATTGGAAGACACAAGAACTTCCCACGCTGGAGGAATGGCAGATGAAACTTATGGACTATATGGAATTGGCGGAAATGACTGGCAGAATCCGTGACCAGGGAGAAGAGTCGATGGAGGAAGATTGGAAGAAATTCAAAGACTATCTTCAGAAACATTGCAAAATTAAGGAATGTTAGAGTGATGTTGGATTGAAAATAAATGGTTTCCAGCTATACAGGTTAAAGTTAAGGATAGATTAAGATTAAAGATCAAGATTAAGGATGTTTAAAGAAATGGAAATTTGATAATAAAAGGGAAAAATTTAAAGGTATATGACATTAAGAATAAGGATTATGTTTAAAAAAGTTGAAGTTATATATTTTAATATTTTATTAAATTAAAGATTGGGTTTAAAAAAGTGGAAAAGAAACTGCTGGACAAATAATGTAGATTGGAATACAAAAGAGGGAGGTATGAGGAAGTCTAGAAAATAAGTAATATAAAATTGGGAACGGAAAAGAGTTTGTTTTTAATTGTTATGTTTTGTCTTTTTATTGTTAAATTTTGTATTGTTTTTTTTTTGTCTGTGTTGTTTTTCTTTTTTCTTTGTTTAAAATCTTAATAAAAAATTATTTAAAACAAAACAAAACAAAACAAAACATCTGGAGGGCCGAGTTTGCCTATGCCTGTCTTTGGTGTTGTTGATTTTATCAATAAAGTAAAATAATAATAATCAAGATTTCAGCTGTCGGGGGAAGAATCTGTTTTTAACACTGTGACTCAGTTCTCCCTGTTTTAACATCCTTAGGCAGAACATTTGCTACCTTCCCCACTGCATTCCTATATGTGAAAATCAGCTGTCTCTTTCATTCCAGATCAATGCCTCATTATTGATCCTCCATGTTCTACAAAAGCCTTTCGGCCATACGGCATATTAACTTACGGCAGTGAGCAATAATTCGTTTCAGGAAAGAGTGTGTATTCCTAGAGAAAGTCTAGCTGTGGGGTCAGCTATAAAATAAGTAAACCTGTGGAGCAGTTTCCAGCAACTGTCATTCAGAACCATCCTGCCTCTCACTCAGCAGACGGGTTACAAATCAACCCCAAAACAGGAATTTGAGGGAATGAAGGGGAGGTGTTTGCAATTAGTGCCAAAGATCCAAAACGAACTAAAAACACGTAGCTCAATAATGTGAGGAAATAGTTAACTCGCGGGCTCTTGTGAGCATCATCTGGAGTCAAAATAGTTGTGGCCAGGGCAACAAAGGAGATGCTGGAGACCTTAATAATCCCTAAATAGGTTATCAAGTTCTGAGGGCGATGGTGTTTTTTCTTGATGTCCCACATGGATCGTGGCTGTGTGTGCTATGGGCAACAAACACCACTATTGCCTCATTGTTGTTTAGTCGTGTCCGACTCTTCGTGACCCCATGGACCAGAGCACGCCAGGCACTCCCATCTTCCACTGCCTCCTGCAGTTTGGTCAAACTCATGATTGCAGCTTCGAGAACACTGTCCAACCATCTCATCCTCTGTCGTCCCCTTCTCCTTGTGTCCTCAATCTTTCCCAACATCAGGGTCTTTTCCAGGGAGTCTTCTCTTCTCATGAGGTGGCCAAAGTACTGGAGCCTCAGCTTCCGGATCTGTCCTTCCAGTGAGCACTCCGGGCTGATTTCCTTCAGAATGGAGAGGTTTGATCTTCTTGCAGTCCATGGGACTCTCAAGAGTCTCCTCCAGCACCATAATCCAAAAGCATCAATTGTTTGGCGATCAGCCTTCTTTATGGTCCAGCTCTGACTTCCATACATCGTTACTGGGAAAACCATAGCTTTAACTACTATACGGACCTTTGTTGGCAAGGTGATGTCTCTGCTTTTTAAGATGCTGTCTAGGTTTGTCATTGCCTCATTATGACTTCACAATCCTTGGACTTTACGATACTAATATATACAGAAGATATGATATGTTGCCATCAGGAACTGTGCTTTTTGATATGGTGATTAAAATTACAGTTTTATTATTTATCACATTATGTTGCTTTACAGCTAGTTATGTGTGTGTTGTGGTGTGTGCTATGGAGCATGGAGTTCATGCGAGTTTGTGGAGCATGTTTGTGTGAAATCCCTAAATCAGATTAATCAACCAAATGGTGTGGCTTCTCTGAATGACCTAGCTGGCTAGCCACCACTGCAAACACGAGGAGACAGGGAGGAGATAGGACACCCATCTTGAAACACCTCATGGAAGATGGAGCAAGCTTGTTTTCTCCTGCTCTGGGAGGTAGGACTCGAACCCATGGCTTCAAGCTACAAGGAAGGAGATTCCAGATAAACTTCAGGAAGAGCTTTCTGAGGGTGATAACTGTCCGACAGTAGAACAGATTCCCTCGGGAGGTGGTGGACCCTCCTCCCTTGGAGGTTTTCAAGCAGAGGTTGGACAGCCATCTATCATGGATGCTTCAGCTGAGATTCCTGAATTGCAGCGGGTTGGACTAGATGACCCTGGGGTCCCTTTCCAACTCTTCAATTCTATGCTAAGCTGGACAGGGGCACTGAGTGTCTGCGCCTGCCGGTCTCCTGTTCTGGACATTTGGATGGCAATGTTAAGGCACTGTTTGCATGGGAATTCACAGAACCCCAGATCTGAGATGGAAGCCTTTGAATTCAGAATTGCCAACACTAAGACTGTTTGGTAAAGTTGCAAAAAAAGAAAGAAAAAAAGCCGCAATCTGCCTGAGTACCAAGACGACTCATCTTGACCCAACCATTTCCCAGCATTCTCCCCCCCCCCCCCGGCTTTGAAGCATCCTCCCTCCCTCCCTAACAGACCTGCCTGTACTTCGGGCTGCAGTAACCGGCTGCCGCTGAGGTCAGACAAGAGCCTTGAATTGAGGCTGCTGTGAAACAACTCCCTAAAGTCATAATCAGAAACCGGGGGAACAATGTGTGTTTCTCCCACCAGACCTATCATGACAGAGCAATTCTTGTTGCTGAGCCCCTCGCTGCCAGCATTTTCCGGAGGCAAAATCAAGGCTGCGTTTCCCAACAGCAGCGTGGGGAGAAAAGGGGGGGGCCGCAGAAGCCTGGCGTTCTACTTGTGTCTCCCCACCACCACCACCACCTATAAGCCCTGTCTTCAAATAAAACAAAATAAAACCAATTCTCCTTGCAACTTGTGCTGTTTCAGTGCTGAACTTGTAGCTTACCATAAAGTTAATGTACTACGCAATATTCATTCCAGACAAGGCTGGGTGTGCGTGTGTGTGTTTTTTCCACCCCCAAAAAGAGCCATTATCTGTAATTACCCATTACCAGGCATAATTATTTCTCCTGGGCTGCTCTACAACCCCCAGGATTTGATGCAGTTACAGCTCACTGCATTATGTTATCAAGGAAGCTTTTTTGACCTTTAAGAGCTCTACTCTCCCTACATACAAAAGTGGGCAGTAAATTGTTTAAGCGTGTGATTTATCCTGGGGGCCCCACTCGGGTGTGCTGCATTGCTCAGGAGTCAGAAATGTTACTTGTACCCACTGCCAAATGTTCGGGGCAGGACAAGACACCTTCCAGAATTGTTCGCGTCGAACATCCGCATTTGTGCTACTGGTCCAATGTGTGTTTTCGTCACACCTCAAGCTAAAGGTCAGGGACTTTTCAAATGTTTAAATTGCACACAGAATGACACATGGGCAACGGCGCACGGGGCAAAGGATCCAAGTATCTCTCCCACCCGCAAAACACCTGGCAGTCCAGCTAGCAAGTCAGCTGCAAGGCGATCAAAATATATTTTCCCTGCCAAGCTCAACTCAGGCTGGGCTGCACCTTAACATTATCCACTCCAGACACGTCCCACGTTAAAAATCTGCAATTCTGCAAGCGCATGCAGAAGAAGATATTCCTTGTTCAATCTTAGTAGCCTAATATGAATACATGAAGACATGGTGTTGCCGTAAGACAAAAATTCCATTAGTGGAGAAATAAAATAGAATCAATGTTCACTATCCCGTAGGCAGCAAAGTAAGAGGCTGCTGGTTTTATATAGTGTCTTGGCTTACGGTATATATGCATGGAATATATACCGGGATGCAGGTGGCGCTGGGGTCTCTTGGGCCTGCCGATCAGAAGGTTGGCGGTTTGAATCCCTGTGACGGGGTGAGCTCCCGTTGGTCTGTCCCAGCCCCTGCCAACCTAGCAGTTCAAAAGCACACCAGTGCAAGCAGATAAATAGGTACCGCAGCGGCGGGAAGGTAATTGGCGTTTCTGTGCACTCTGGTTTCCATCACGATGTCCCGTTGGGACAGAAGCGTTTTAGTCCTGCTGGCCACATGACCTGGAAAGTTGTCTGTGGACAAATGCCGGCTCCCTCAGCCTGAAGCAGAGATGGGTGGCGCACCCCGTAGTCAAATTCGACTGGACTTAACCATCCAGGGGTCCTTTAAAGTAAAGGTAAAGGGACCCCTGACCGTTAGGTCCAGTCATGGCCGACTCTGGGGTTGCGGCACTCATCTCGCTTTACTGGCCAAAGGAGCCGGCATACAGCTTCCGGGTCATGTGGCCAGCATGACTAAGCTGCTTCTGGCAAACCAGAGCAGTGCACGGAAACACTGTTTACCTTCCCGCCGGAGTGGTACCCATTTATCTACTTGTACTTCATGCTTTTGAACTGCTAGGTTGGCAGGAGCAGGGACTGAGCAACGGGAGCTCATTGCGGGGATTCGAACTGCTGACCTTCTGATTGGCAAGCCCTAGGCTCTGTGGTTTAGACCACAGCGCCACCCGCGTCCCTCCAGGGATCCTTTACCTTTTCCTTATATGGAATAAAACGGCATGACACTCCTTCCTGGGCCAGGTCCCTATTTAAAAAGGCACTTTTGCACTTGCTAGTTCTTGCTCCATCATGGTCTCTTCTCTCCACGACCAACCTGGTCACCGTCCAACAAAGCAAAGCAACCAATGACAACTTCCTTTGAAACTCCAAAGAAAATATGTGGTATTCAGGCCATAGCAGAGCCGTCTGTGGGCGGACACTGGCTTTATCTAGAAAGACGTCAATGGCTTCAGCTCAAGTGTTTCTCAAGGTTTATCCCTTCTGCTGGGAACAACGCTCAGTTGTGTTTTAAATAGAGTGGAAAAACGAAGAGCCTTTCCCCCACGCCCATCAGCGATAAGTTGGCACCTCCGCTGACTGCAGTCACCGTCTCCAGGAATGAGCTGCTTCCCATTATATCATTGCTTCTACTAATTATATCAAGGTGTCAGAGTTCTCCCATTAGGGATCGCCGTACAACGTTAATTACTGAGCAATTAGGCACCGCAGATTAGCACACCCCCCCCGGCACATCAGGGAATTTAAAAACAGTTTCCACATGGCTCTCGTAAACCCAATAAAGTAAACCTGGTGTCATTGCTATCTTGGGTTGATGGCAAGTGGGTAGTCCTGTCTGTATGTCAAAGGTCCACATGGGGTGGGAAAGATTGGGCACACTGGACAGACCCAGTTCTCCCTAAATCTCCCCACAATGGTTCCAATGAAAATCTAGGGCTGGGGAAAAGAGGTATGCATGAAACCAGAAGGGTTTCCAAATCCAATATAAGTCCATATTATTGGCAGATGTTCTCCTCTACTTGCCTGGGAAGACAGGTGAAGTAATACCAGTGTACTGGAAGAAGCAAAGACCACCAGTGTTGAAGCAATGATTCTTCAACATCAACTTTGTTGGACTAGTCATGTTGTGCAGATGCCTGATTATCATCTTCCAAAGCGACTCCTCTATTCCAAACTTAAAAATGGAAAGTGCAATGCTGGTGGTCAACAAAAGAGGTTTAAAGACACTCTCAAGGCAAATCTAAAAAAATGTAGTATAAACACTGACAACTGGGAAACACTGGCCTGTGAGTGCTCCAATTAGAGAACAGCCTTTACCAAAGGTGTCATGGGCTTTGAAGACACTCGAACTCAGGACGCAAGGGAGAAACGTGCTAAGAGGGAGGCATGCTTGGCAAATCCACACCGTGATCAACTCCCACCTGGAAACCAATGTCCCCACTGTGGAAGGACGTGTGGATCCAGAATTGGCCTCCACAGTCACTTACGGACTCATTGTTAAAACCGTGTTTATGGAAGACAATCTTACTCGGCTACGAGTGATCACCAAAGAAGCAGCAGCCTGAAATAGGAAAGGGTACTTTTCAACCTAGTTCTGCCATTGCTGCAGCAACAGAAAATCCTTGATGTTTGGCCCATGCAATGCCAAAACTAAACGTTATGCCTAGTTGCATCATCTGCTGGCAAGAAGTACCAGTGTGGCCTTCTCCTTTCTAGCCAGTTTCCCACTCAAAATCAAAACCTGTCCCAAAAGTAAAACATATGGGGACTAGCGTGTGTTACACAATGTGCTACATGGTGGGGAAGATAAATGATAGAGCCACACGTAAACTTAACCCTAAAGGTGTTGTTGTCATCAAGTAGACTACGAGTGCAAGACTATTTGGATATTCTGGAAATTAAGATTTGTAAGGTAAGGCAGCAGAAAAGCCCAGCAATAATGCCTCTTACAATCCCAAAGCAAAAAAAACACAACAGCAACCAAAAAACCTTCAGGGGGAGAAACAAAACCAGCGTGGTTACAATCAGAATGGAACAAATTTCATTAAGGGAATATCAAAGGCAATATTGAGAGGGGAGTATGAGCTGTTCAAGTATCTGCAAGCGAAGGCCTTGGAGAAAATACGACTAGGATAAAATCATTATAGCTCACACTAAAAATAAACTAAGGGAGGTGGCAACTGATAGGAACTCACAAGAGGCCACTTCATTAGGAGCAACATGATGAAAGAAGCCCAGGTGGTTTCTAAAAAGCAGAAAATGGCAAGGCAGGGAACATCCCGCTCAAAGCTGAAATAAAGCAGACGGGGGCAATGGGTGAGCTTTGCAGCTCAGAGCCGCTGATGGGAAAAAGCAAAAACTGATGAGAGACCCAAGTTACAAATGCAAAGAATTTGCATTTGGAAGTGACACTAAAGATAGTTTAAAATGTGATCAGCAATCAAACTTACGCTCTATCCTAGAAATACATTTATCTCTCTATGCTTTCCCTTTGCTCAGAATTAATCACAACCAATTTGAAACAGAATCAGCTTTCTTCCTTTTTTGCAAAGCGGTCCCGGGTGATATGGGCGCAGTAGAAATAATTATTATTATATGGCCGATCCTGGCACTCTGAGAATGGTGCCAATGAGTGAGGCAACATTCACTACTAATCAGCTCAATGTAATCAATTAAAAAATTCTCAGGCCCAATTAAAATATTGGGCACTATTAACGGCTACTAGCTCTTACTCCTCGTAGTTACCTCGTCTGTTCTACAAAGAGTGTGCAGAGGGCCGAAACTAAACTTTCCAGCAACTGGTGAAAAACCTTTTCTTTGTTCTTGTTGCCTTTTTCGCTTCTCTGGCATGCCTACTTAGAAGTGAGCCCCTCTATGTTCAATGGGAAAATGTGCACAGACTCCAGCCCAAAGAGGCCAAGTAAGGGATTGCCTTCAGCTCTGCAAAGCACTCCAGGGCTTTCCATACTTGGGTCTCCAGCTGCTTCTGAACTACTCCCATCATCCCTAGCTAGCTGGACCAGTGGTCAGGGATTATGGGAACTGTAGTCCACAAAAAAATATTTAGCTTGAGAACCAGGTTTGGAAAGCCCTGCACTTGCTTCTCACACCCAAGTATTGCTGAAAAGGGATTGCGTTTGGACGTTACAATCGCAAAAACCTCCAGCTAGCTTTGGCATTGTCAGTGGATGTGTGCGCATCATGCAATTACAGCACGTCTTTCTCTTCAAGGAATCCGTAGAGATAGCACTCCCAGGACTCTTAACAAACCCTGTGTGGAGGAGGGAATGTGCTTCAGACATGTGGCATGTGCAAAGTGCCCCACAGCCCTAAGGTCATTCCAAGTCTTCCCCATTGCAAAGTATTGCTTACAAATGCAGAACATTTGGAACAAATAGTATAAACGGCATCTCCAACTCCTTGAAAGATTCCATCAACAGGTTCTCCGAATTTTTTTGCACATCGCTTGGGAAGACAGGCAAACTAATGTCAGTGTACTGGATGAAGCAAAGATCACCAGTGTCGAAGCAATGATTCTTCAACATCAACTTCGTTGGACTGGTCATGTTGTTCGGATGCCTGATTATCGTCTTCCAAAGCAACTACCGTACTCTATTCCGAACTTAAAAATGGAAAGCGCAATGCTGGTGGTCAACAAAAGAGGTTTAAAGACACTCTCAAGGCAAATCTAAAAAAAAGTAGTATAAACACTGACAACTGGGAAACACTGGCCTGCAAGCGCTCCAGTTGGAGAACAGCCTTTACCAAAGGTGTCATGGACTTTGAAGACACTCGAACTCAAGACGCAAGGGCGAAACGTGCTAAGAGGAAGGCATGCTTGGCAAATCCACACCGCGATCAACTCCCGCCCAGAAACCAATGTCCCCCACTGTGTGGTTCCAGAATTGGCCTCCACAGTCAAGTACGGACTGATGGTTAAAACCGTGTTTATAGAAGACAATCTCACTGGGCTACGAGGTATCGCCAAAGAAGAACCATAAAGGATGCAACCACAGCATCTCTTACTAGTGGCCATCTAGCCTTGAGTATCTCCATCATCTTCATAGGCAGTCTGTTCCACTGGATGAACAGCTCATACCATTAAGTTGGTTCCCCCCCCCAATGTTTAGATGAAATTTGCTTCCCTGCTCATTCTTCCCCCTGCAGCAACGCATAACATGCCTGCTCCATCTTCTCTGACAACCCTTAATGTATATAAGTTTGCTATCGTCTACAGCTTATCTTCTCCAGAGCACACACCCACAGCTGCTGCTTTTCTTCCAGACCCTCCGACAATCCATTCACCCTCATTCGGACACAGCCCAGTTTGGTCTATTGCACAGCAAAGTTGAATATGGCTAATCAGCTACCTTTGGCTGGGGTGGTAAGCAGAAATATATAACCTCTGCAAGTCTAAAGAGTTGGCTTCAGCACCACCCCAGGCAATTATCTTAAATCCCTCCAGCAATGATGCTTGAAGAACTTTCTTTCCCCCATGCAGGCCATTCAACTGCCTAATTGCATTTCTAGTTAGGAAAGGAAGTGTCTTTTAATTAAATTATTTTCCTTGTACTTTTAGGGTTTTTTTCAGTTTCAAGCCACTGCTCTTTGTTATTGCCTCAAACACTGTAAATAATCCCTCCCCCTCTTCCCTATTATTACCTCTCAAATATTTATAGACTGTTATATCAACCCGCAGTCTCTTTTTCTACAAGCCGTACATCATTTTTGTCACCCGTCTCTTGATCTGCTCAGATTTATCTATGCCCACCTTTCATAATAAGATATTCAAAAAAAACAGCAACTCAGGGCTGGATTCCAAAGTAGGATTTCAAGAAAACTGGAGAGAAACTGGGCGAGACTCAATCTGTTTTTGTTATTTATTTTGTACAAACCGTACCCTGGACGAACTGTACGGTGGCTTTAAGGCTCAGGTCTAGCAGACTCCATTTGTTCTCCTTAGCCAGGAACTCTGGAATCGGTGTTTTCAAGGAGCTGATTAAAAGACCGAGGGATGGGACAACACGTACCACTTCCGAACATCCACAGATGACCACATGTTCAGAGTCAATATGGCAAGAAAGAAAAGGGCTGAGAGACAAGTCTTCTCAATGACATCTTAATAATCACGTTAAAAGTCTGATTTTCAACCCACTAATTCCCCATGTGCATATCTGGGGCAAGGGATGCGGGTGGCGCTGTGGGTTAAACCACAGAGCCTAGGACTTGCCGATCAGAAAGTCAGCGGTTCGAATCCCCGCGACGAGGCGAGCTCCCATTGCTCGGTCCCTGCTCCTGCCAACCTAGCAGTTCGAAAGCACGTCAAAGTGCAAGTAGATAAATGGGTACTGCTCCGGTGGGAAGGTAAACGGCTTTTCCGTGCGCTGCTCTGGTTCGTCAGAAGTGGCTTAGTCATGCTGCCCACATGACCCGGAAGCTGTATGCCGGCTCCCTCGGCCAATAAAGCGAGATGAGCGCCGCAACCCCAGAGTCGGTCACGACTGGACCTAATGGTCAGGGGTCCCTTTACCTTATATCTGGGGCAACCAAGTTCCATGAGGACTAGAACCACGTGCCCTTTAAATGCCCAATGTTAATATAGAACATGGTTGCTCCGGAAGCTGTCTGTGGCCATCGGAGCACCCACAGGGCTTGAGTGTGATTCTTACAACGTCCAGGTTACCAGTGATGGGGAAGGAAGAATTCTCCTCTGCTATATTTTCCTATGGAAAAGTCTTCGTTTCTAGAAATGTAAGATTATACAACTAACTGATAAAAATAGATCCATTAATGAAATTATATATTCAAACGAATCAAAAAAGCGTACTTGGAAATGAAGACTTGGGATGCGTTTGAAAGTATAAACCTTTCACATGTGATTTATCAATTCTTTGTAGGCCACGAGAGAATCCAGAATTGGCCTCCACAGTCACTTACGGACTTTGCTGTTAAAACCATGTTCATGGAAGACAATCTTACTCGGCTACGAGGGATCGCCAAAGAAGAAGACCATTACTGTATTTTTCGCTCTATAACACGCACCCGACCATAACACGCACGTAGTTTTTAGAGGAGGAAAATCCGTAGGCATGCCACCCGTAGGCATTCCCTCCATAACACGCACAGACATTTCCCCTTACTTTTTAGGAGGAAAAAAGTGAGTGTTATGGTGCAAAAAATACGGTAATTCCCTGCCACCCACACACCTCGTCTCCGTCAAGTACAGTCATACCTCAGGTTACAGACGCTTTGGGTTGCATGATTTTGGGTTGCGCACCCTGCTGAACCCCAAAGTAGTGGAACGGGTTACTTCCGGGTTTTGGCACTTGCGCAGAAGTGCTAAATCACGCTTTGTGCATGCACAGAAGTGCCAAATCGCAACCTGTGCGTGCCCAGACGTGGCACTGCGGGTTGCGAACATGCTTCCCGCACAGATCACGTTCGCAACCTGAGTGTCCACTGTATCTCAGTTCAACTACTTTTGCTCTTAAAAAAGGACCCACATGCTCACTTCTTCCAGGTGACAGATTAATGCCACACGTCGAATATGACCCTCAGGTCCAGCAGACTATCCCACTGCAAAAATGCTTGGTTCAAATTTTCCTCTAGCATTAGCTAGGAAAGTGGGTTAGAGGCTTCCACGGGCATCCCATCCCCATCACGGATATTAATCCATAACTGTTTAAACAGATTTACCCTGAATTCCTGCAAGTGGTGGCCCTTATTTTGGCGCTTGACCATCATAAACTGCCCACATGTTAAGGCTGCAATTCCAAGCACAATTGCTTGGGAGCAAGTTTCTGGAGAACAGGGATGGACAATTCCAGAGCGTTTTCCCCCGACCTAAAGTTCAGGCCCTACTGCAGCTTTTTCCTATTCTTCCCCCCAACTCAGGCAAACTCCTTTTAAAATAACCATCGTTACCATGACTACAATGAGGTATGTGCATGCTGGCAAGGCACCACGGCTTCCCGGCCTGCTTTTTTATTTTTTATTTTCCTGAAGAACTGCATGTCACCAGAGCCTAGAAAAATTGTCTCTGGCCTCTCAATGCGCTGTAATATTTCTGACCTGCCAATAAAATGGATACAGTGAGAAAAAGACTTTTTTCCCGGTACCTTGTATGATTTGTGTGGCTCCTTCACATCCTATTCCTCTCCCTGTAAACTATGTTCGGTGTGATGAAGTTTGCAAGAAAAACTGCTAGACCTCAGGGCGGCAAGGAAGAGGGGGGGGCAGGGATCCCGACAAGGTGAAATTGAAGCCGCTGCTACTCTGGAAATGCCAGAAAGGAATTCTGACCCCCGTGGAAATCAACAGACCTACTGAGCAAGAATTGCGGGTGCTCATATTTGTTCGGCGGCAGTGAATAATTCGATGCTGACAGTCCCCTTCCCATCAAATCCCACAATATTCTCAGGCTGCCTAAAGCACCATAGCTGTCAACGTTTCCCTTTTTTTAAGGGAAATTCCCTTATTCCAAATAGGATTCCTCGCAAGAAAAGGGAAAAGTTGACAGCTATGCTACCGCATTTCTCCGGAAGCAAGGCTCCCTTGAACCCAGCGCAGCCCACTTCCGAGGAAAAATGCACATATTTGAGCTGCACACCTGTAAAAAGGCACCTGCCTGAAGCATAATGTGCAGCTGCCCCCCAATATCTGTGTAGCAACAGTAGAGAGCACGACACGGACCTTGCAGTCCCCGTAAGCCTCCTGAACCCTTTTTGACCAGATGGCACATTCCGCAATTTGGCAAACATCGCTGAGGGTTCCAGGCACAAAATGGCTGCCTGGGAACATGGCACAACACAACACGGACGGCACGGTGCAGCACAAAATCAAAGCGAGGAGTGCTGCCCCGTGTGTGTGTGTGTGTGTGTGTGTCCCCCACTTCATACTTGCTGTGGGAAATCAACTATGTCCTGGTGGTCCGGATGGTGGAGACCACACCGTATTTATCCCCTTCTCCCAAAACAACGTTGTTTCTGTCTAATAACAACCGGGAGCGTTCTCCTGCGGGAGAAAAATACGAGGTGGGCATGCCACACTCTCTCACAAACTGCACAAACACACTGCAGATGACTTCGTTTGGATACAGGATGCAGCGCATAAGCAGAGCACATGCTGCACATGAAGAAAGATCCCAGATCCCTGGCATCTCTTCTTAAAAAATGGTCAGCTAGCAGGAAAAGAACTCTCTCTGCTGGGAACACGGAGAGCAGCTGCCGGCCAGAGTCTGTAATACCAGGGTAGATGCAGTGCCGGATTTATGTATAAGCTAAACAAGCTCTAGCTTAGGGCCCCACTCTCTTGGGGGCCCCAACAAATTTAAAGAGAAAAAAACCTGGATGTACATTTCCAAAATATAAGATAAAAAAACCAAATAAAATAAAACCTACATACAGCAACCATGTTTTGTGTTGTGTAGGCTCCTGTGATATAAGTCATGGGCCCCGACTGCTTGCCTGCTCCCTCAAATATCACTGGATTGTCCTTTCTATATATATAGGGTGCCTACATTCTGCATGGACTGGTTGCACAGCAACATGTGCAAATGGCTTGAGATACCTATTAAAGGTAAAAGTAAAGGACCCCTGACCGTTAGGTCCAATCGTGAACGACTCTGGGGTTGTGGCACTCATCTCACTTTACTGGCTGAGGGAGCCGATGTTTGTTCGCAGTTTTTCCGGGTCATGTGGCCAGCATGACTAATCCGCTTCTGGCGAACCAGAGCAGCGCACAGAAACACCGTTTACCTTCCCGCTGGAGCCGTACCTTGGTCTTTGATGTGCTTTCGAACTGCTAGGTTGGCAGGAGCTGGGACCAAGCAACGGGAGCTCATCCCATCGAGGGGATTCGAACCGCCGACCTTCCAATCGGCAAGCCCAAGAGGCTCTGTGGTTTACACCACAGCGCCACCCGCATCCCTCAGATGCGATCCAGAAATTACCATATAGCATGTATTCATCACAAAAAACCGTGACGATTTGTTCTTGACAGAGGACAGCTGGACATAGAAAGGGCCCCATCACCTTCAGGAGCTTAGGGCCTCCCTCATCAAACCTAAATCCGGCCATGGGTAGATGGACAAATGATCTCACCTGGTGTGAGGCAGCACATGGTTATGCTCCTGAATGAAAGGCTAAAGGGATAAAAATGGCAATGGCTTCCTATTTGGCTTGGGAGAGCCTCTAAATACTGCCATCTTACGGGGTGAGGGCCGGGTCCTTTGGCATCGCGTTTACCTGTGGACGAGGTTGGCACCGCGGAAGCTGACGTGGTGGGCAGTGGTGGGCTGGCACTCTCCAACAAGAGGCAGGAAGGGCCCCCACTGGCGTTGTTCTCTTTCTTCACGTACATTTCCGTGGCGCTGGGCAATGGGATGGGGTGGCTGATGCCCAGCTCCTCTTCCTGAGCTTGCTGCCTTCGCAGGGCAACCTGGGAAAGAGATGTGGGAATGTTCAGGGATGCAGGAGAGGATATATTGTCTGATAATAGCCTTTCCAACTTGTGTTAACAAGTTTATCAGAGTAACATTCCCCTTTTTAAATTTGCAGCGGATGCATTTGCTCAGGCTCGCTAAAGCCTCTATAATAACTGTTCTGGTATTTTCCCCTTATTCCCTCATAAAAGATAAGACACGACACAGTCTTCTATGAAAGTATAAAAAGAGTTTACTCACATTCTGTTCACAATCGGATCCCAGAAGGCAGACTTAGCTTAGAAAAGTAACATACACCTGGAAACTATCTCATAAGGAGACAGTCCCTTTGTCCTCTCTTGCCAAGAGAGCATCTTTGGCTAAGCAGATGTTGCTTCTTCAATGCATGTAGTCAAAGAGAGAGAGATGGTTGCCCTGCCCTGTGTTTTTGTCGTTACCTGCGCAGGTGAGGCCACACCCACCTCTAGTCACACAGGAAGTCTGTCCCAGCCCAGAAGGAAACAGGAAGTTTACCTGCTGGCTGGACAAACATTCCTCCCCATGTGTAAACATGTTCACTCTAGGAATGTTGTACTTGACTGCTCTTGTGTTTCACATCCCACAAGAGAAGGGGCAAAACAGTGTTTCCTCTCCAGATTGAAAGAACGACGGCGGCAGCAACTTCGATGGGAAATGCCAGAGCAGAACCGGAACGGCATTTTAAACAGTTTGCATGCACCAGCACAAAAGGAGGCTGGGGGAAGGGCTGCAACACGCACAAACACACCTAATAATAATAATAATAATATTTATTTATTTATACCCCTCCCATCTGGCTGAGTTTCCCCAGCCACTCTGGGCGGCTCCCAATCAAGTATTAAGAACAATATAGCGTCAAATATTAAAAGCTTCCCTGAACAGGTCTGCCTTCAGATGTCTTCTGAAGATACAATAGCTACTTATTTCCTTCACATTTGAAGGGAGGGTGTTCCACAGGGTGGGCGCCACTACTGAGAAGGCCCTCTGTCTGGTTCCCTGTAACCTCACTTCTCGCAATGAGGGAACCGCCAGAAGGCCCTCAGCGCTGGACCTTTCCTCATTTATGATATTTGTCTGCATGCGTGCAGAAAGTTGCATATAAAACTGGAAGTTCACATAGGGAAGGTTTTTTAAATATATATATATATAAATTATGGTTTTGTATATGTTGGAAGCTGCCCAGAGGAGCTGGGGCAACCCAGTCAGATGAGCAGGGTACAAATAAAATCACCATCATCAGGACTCAGGACTCCCGACCAAAGACAACAAGGAAAAGATTTCCTTTGCTTCAGTGAATTCTGGATTGCACCTGGAATTATGGCAAATTCAGGTCCGGGTGTGTGGAGAGACTCAAATTCACTCCAATAAAAGGTGAAAACTACTATTGAAATCCAGAGTTCTCCGATTCTGCTCAGATATCTGCGTGGTTTCTCTAGAAGAAAAGGAACGGCTGCAGGAAAAAAATAACTGTAGAGGTTTCTTGAATAAAGGACCTAATCCAGTGGGGGGCTTGCTTTAGGACTGAGGTTAAAAAGTTATATTACTAAATAACGTGATTTGATGATTTTTAATCTCTCTCAGGATCATTTTACATATAATTTTTTTGTTGTTTTTCTCTTTGTAAACTGATTTGAGGTTTTTTGGGTGTGTGTGTTTTACAATCAAGCGGTGTTTCCTCTGGAATGCTTGAAAGAAAGCATGGGTGATTTTGGAGCAGAGCAGAATTAAATGTTGGGAAGAGTGTCTTTTTGAAAGGCAGAATACGTTACACAATGCAAGGAAATATGGGATAGTCTCTGTTTTTCTCCTTAACAAGTGAGCAAAGAGAAATCACAGTAATATAATCCATACTAAGGTCCTAGCACAAGCCATCTTAGAAATAAAGTATAGCCGAATGTATTATAAACGAAAAAGATGGCTATTCCTACATCTCTATTCTGAGATCTGGTTTAATATTGTGTGTGTGTATAATCACTGGTATTTTTTAAATGTATTAAGAACTATTAAGAGAGAGATGATGCCTATTATTTAGGTTAATGGGAAACCCACAGAAATTCAAATATCTTAGTTTAACTGCGATTTGAATGTCGGCTACTTGTTATCTAAGGACTGGTGACTGAAACTTTCAAAACGCTCTAAAACTGGGAACTTTGAAAACATTTGTAGCAGATCTTTTCCAACCGATTTTGCATCAGGTCTAGTTATTACATAGCATTTTAAATGGAGGGAGAACAGCTTTATAATGGGAAAAGAAAGAACAAGTCAACAATGTATTGATTTGAGTGGTATTTACACAGTGATCTGCAACTCAACACCTTGGGTTGTTTTGCCTTTTTTTTGCTTTTCATTCCTGATGTATTCTAAATAAGTTAATGGCACAAGACCAGAGAAAAAAACTGAAATATTTTTGCTCATATATAACCATTAAAGCCAACCTACTTGCAAGAATCCCAAATCCTAAAATGTCTGCTGAATAAAAACAGAGCTTGAAATTGAGAGTTTTTGTGTCTTTCAATTGCCTTCATCATGGAAGTTGAAGTTTCCCCATTGACTCTCAGCGCATTCCTACACATGCCTACTTAGAATCTTCTATGTGCACTTTTTAGTGTAGCCATATACCTTTCTAGAACACAAATGACAAATCTTCCCAAGATCCAATGTGATTTTTAAGTTTAGAGAGTTCCCTTAACAACGTTCAACCCTTTCCCCTCTATTTTTACATCACATACACGAATTCTAATATATTTTTTTCATCAGTAGATATAGCAAAATAAGATGGAGCCGTTATTCATAAGTTCTTCGTGGATAACGGTCTACAAAATACAAGCTCAAAATCCTGATATACAAGGGCGGGGAAGAAAGACTCAGAGACGACAGAGAGAAATCGCATGATGGATATTATTTTAACTAACAAATAAGCAAACTCCAAAACACATTTGTTGTTTTAACAACTGTAACATAATTTTTTTCTTTTAATGTAACGGGATGTGATGCATTTTCAGATATTATCAAGGTAGCTTCAAATTTGGCAATGAATGGTGGGCTTTTTAGCACCATCTTACTCAGAAGTAAGTTTGGCTGTGTTCAGTATGGCTTACACCCAGGAAAACCAGCATTCCATTGCAGCCTTTCCATTAGATGATCTGTCACTGGATCCTTAATTTTAGAAATCATGACGCACACACCCTAAAGTGCCTGAACAATCCAGGAAAAAAGTATTTGGAGTTGCAAATCTTTACTAGGGAGAAAGGCCCAGTGCTATCCGTGGGCCTTACTCCTGAGGAGGAGGAGCACGGATGGACCCGAGTCTTTCCAAATGCAAAGGACTAAGCCCGCTCACTTCCCTGGGACTCCACCTGCCGCATTGCAAGCCAGAGCTGCGCGCAAGCGGCCCGGGCATCCTTATGGGGCGGGAAGGGGGTCTCCCCACATCTCGTCCCCCCCCGGGGAGGTTTCTGCTCACCTGGGCGGCCATCACCCGCTGCCTCTCGGCGATCAGGCTGCACTTCTTGCACTGACAGTCTCTCCACATGCAGAAGCGCTTGTGCCCTTTCAGGGGCGAGGAGTAGCCGTGGTTCCTGCACCGCGCGCACTTGGGCAGCCGGGGGGACTTCTTCCCCGACGGGGCGGCCGCGCCAGCCGAACTCTGAGCCGGCCCCCCGGCATTGCTGGTGGTCCCTGCGGCCGCCAGGCCAGAGGATTTCCCGAAGGTGCCCACCTTACCCCCCTGGCCGGGATGCTCCGACGGGGCCGACGGCTTGTTGAAGGAAGACTCGTTGGGCATCTCTTCTGTGGGGACGACTGATTTGACCGTGTGGGGTTCAATTGCTCCTGTTTTTCTGCAGCGGGGATTATGTCTCAAGGACCAGTTAATCTGTATGCCCAGTTTTAAAGAGAGGCGTCGAGGCCCTCGAGGCGCCCCTGGTGCCCGGCGGCTGCTCTGGTGCGCGCAACCTTCCTTGCAGAGCCGAGCGCAGCAGCTTTAGGCAAGGAGCAGGAGTCTCGCCAAGGACGCCCGTTGCAAGGAGGGAAGCGGGCACCCGACGGCGCCAGCTCCGCCCCCCACCTGCTCCCGGGGCTGCCCTGTGCAAGGCCCAGCCCGCGCCTCCCTGCAAGGGCACAGGGGGCTTCCTCGGCAGGCGCCAGTACTCCTGCCAGAGGGTCAGAGTGCACGCGCTCGGCCATGTGGGCAGATCGGGACTCTAGCATGGGAGGGTAGGGGGCTTTCGACCTTTTAGCATCCCACGCCTGCAAAATTTGCGCCCGGGGGGGGGGGCAACAACAGCTTCCCGTTGCTTCCAGGAGCGTGCACTTACACTCCGAGGGAGCTGCGCGTGCAGGATTGCAACTGGTGCACACTTCTGGTGCACAGCCTGAACCCTTTGCACTTTGCTGCAAAAGCAAGCAGGCGCCTCTGCTCTTTTGCTGCAAAACCCTTTGCAGCATGCAAGCTCAGTCTCGTGGAAGGAAGAGCATTGCATTGCTACTTTTTCTACTGGGGCTGAGAGATCTCATCAACTCATTTTGCGCCCCTTAAACCCCCTTAATTTTGCAGGCAGCAACCGGTATATTAATTGCACGTCTGTTATATATTCATTCCCAGGGAAATTCCAGAGCCCAGTTTAGCTACTTTACACATGCTTATCTGTAACTTAAAGGAAACATGCCTTTTCAACCACAGGAGGCTGCAGTGTGGCGCGAGGGTGGCCGGATCGGGACCTCACCACGCCCGCTTTTGCAGAGCCGAATTCCCCGCTCCGCACCCGGGAAGGATGAAAACGTTTTCTATGCTACGTTTCCCTTTGCTGAGGTGATAACAGTAAAACAGACTGGAAAGTGGTTTAATGGTTTTATTTAACGGCTTAAATGGCACTGTGCAACCATGGCTTGATCTAAAGATCATTCCCTTCCAAACTATGATGACAATCATTTGAAGGAGGTTTTTCCAAGAGAGAAAATTTTAATCCAGGGGTGATGCACTGGTGGGCCTCCAGTTGTTGCAGCAGTGCCGGATTTACATATAAGCTAAACAAGCTATAGTTTAGGGTCCCACTCTCTTGCCCCCCCCATTCACTATTAATATACTTCTTCTTAATTGGATTTCAGTTAAACAGTTACTTTGATAAAATACATACTTTAGTATGTATTTTAGATACCTATGAGGTCCATAAATTACCATATAGCATATAAAAAGGTAAAGGGTAAAAGAACCTTGACCATTAGGTCCAGTCGTGACTGACTCTGGGGTTGTGGCACTCATCTCGCTTTATTGGCCGAGGGAGCTGGCGTACAGCTTCCGGGTCATGTGGCCAGCATGACTAAGCCGCTTCTGGCGAACCAGAGCAGCGCACGGAAACGCCGTTTACCTTCCCGCCAGAGCGGTACCTATTTATCTACTTGCACTTTGACGTGCCTTCGAACTGCTAGGTTGGCAGGAGCAGGGATCAAGTAACGGGAGCTCACCCCATCGCAGGGATTTGAACCACCGAGCTTCTGATCGGCAAGTCCTAGGCTCTGTGGTTTTACCCACAGCGCCACCCGCGTCCCTATATAGCATATATTCAACAACAAAAAACAGTGACCATTTGTTGTTGACAAAAGACAGCTGGACATAGAAAGGGCCCCATTACCTTCAGCAGCTTAGGGCCTCATCAAACCTAAATCTGGCCCTGGTTGTAGGGCTACAACTTCCATAACTGGCCATGCACACTGGCCATGTTCAGGGCACCAGGCATAAAGAGATCCTTGCTCCTAGTGACACAAACCCTCCAGCCGCCAGTGCACGATCTGCGCTGAATTTTTCTGCTGCTAGTGTTGCTATGGCTGCAGCCGCAGCAGCATTCAACACGCCTCTTGTCCCCACACCTTTGCAATGGCAGGCAAGTCCCACCTGCAGTGGCAAGCCACCATCTTAATTGGTCTAAAATGCAAAGCCCCAGGGCCTATATATTAAGTTGTGGGTGAACATATCAGACAACACAGCAATTCTTCAAACAGCTCTTGTTTATTCACAGGCCAGAACAGAACTGAACTGAAGGGTTCAGCCAGCCTGCTTATATAGAGCTGCATTAGAACGCAACAGTAACCATTTTCTGTAACTATCCAATCACTGAACGTCACTTTCAATCCCTTATTTGCATATGTGGACCTGAACTATCTACAGTATCCCCCTGCTGGTCCAGGGTGAGAACTTCTGTACATAACACTATAGGTTTACAAAATCTGTCAGCTGGGGGCTTTTCGTTGGGGTGAATTAAGATGGTGGGCAGCCACTGTGGCCGGAAGCCAAGCTTGCTTGCCCACCCAGCTCCAAACCTACTCATCAAAGGGCCAGGTGAGTGGGGCAGTTAGTGGCAGCACAACTGGTCACATGACATCCCCAGAAGGCATCAAATAATCCACCAACATCTGGAGAGTCATTGTCTCACCACCCTTGCTATGATCTCTATTGTTGCTTTTGGCCAAGGTGTAGGTTTTTGATAAATACAGTGGTGCCTCGCAAGACGAAATTAATCCGTTCCGCGAGTCTCTTCGTCTAGCGGTTTTTTTGTCTTGCGAAGCAACCCTATTAGCGGCTTAGCGGATTAGCGCTATTAGCGGTTTAGCGGCTATTAAAGGCTTAGCGGCTTAGCGGCTAAAAGGCTATTAGCGGCTTAGAAAAGGGGGGGGAGCGAAAAGAAATCTCAAGACTCGCAAGGCATTTTCGTCTTGCAAAGCAAGCCCATAGGGAAATTCGTCCTGCGAAGCGCATCGAAAAACGGAAAACCCTTTCGTCTAGCGGGTTTTTCGTCTTGCGAGGCATTCGTCTTGCGGGGCACCACTGTACCAAAGCCCAGTTACCTGAGACAGAATTGGAATGATGTATCAGCGACCCTTTTTTCAATTGCCTTTTAATTCTCTGGGGGAAAACAACTATTACCTGTCTTCAGCTTATGAATCAGCTACATTCTCTGCATAGTGAAATAAATGTTCAGAAAGGAATAATGTCTTTTGGACTCTTAGCTCCCCTCCCCCCCCCAAGAAGAACATCTTGTGAATATGGTTAATGTAGCGTGGAATGCAAGAAACAACCATTTTTAATTTGAATAATAATTCCTAGGTATGTGGGTCTTTAATTCAAATTATCAGAGGGATGCATACCTTCCTGTTCCAGGGAAGAGATGGCGGTTATTAAAGATGTACGTTATCAATTGCTCCTTGTCACTTCTTGTTAAAGAAACTACCTTCCGAGGAAGCTGTGGCCCCCCACGCTAGAAAATGGTGTGTATGATAAAGGAATTTTAAAAACGTTAGCATTTCAGCATCGTATAATGTGTGTGACATTCTTACATACATAACAGCAAGTGCAAAATGCAATTAAATGTTCTGTGTTAAAAAACCCCCCAAACAGATCCTTAGTCAAAATGGGAATCAAAAGTTGTGAGGATTCTTTAAAGTTGGAGAGACATAAGAGGTCCCACCTGACAATCAAAGTAAGGTCACTTCCAGCCATCCTGATTTGTTTGCACCAAGTCTGTTGAGGATATTATAGGAGATTGGCTGCTTATTTAGCATTTAGTCTGATTTGTTTGTAGGAACACTCTACAGCATTGCATCAAACAGCTGTTATCCCACATTTCCCATTGTGTTTTCCTGACAGTTTCCTTACTGTTAAGTTGTGGGTGAACATATCAGACAACACAGCGATTCTTCAAACAGCTCTTGTTTATTCACAGGCCAGAAGAGAACTGAACTGAAGGGTTCAGCCAGCCTGCTTATATAGAGCTCAACTAGAACGCAACAGTAACCATTTTCTGTAACTATCCAATCACTGAACGTCACTTTCAATCCCTTATTTGCATATGTGGACCTGAGTGAAAACTATCTACAGTATCCCTCTGCTGGCCCAAGGTGAGAACTTCAGTACATAACACTTACCACACAAATACTGGATTGTGGTGGTGGTGTTTTTTGCAAGCAGGCTTGCTGGGTAAGAGCACATAAACCTCTCATTGTGTGGCCTTAATTTGCTGGCATGTGCTTGAATCCAACCCACAACATTGTGGGGGCCTGAAGAGGCCTACGTATGATATAAAGGGTTGTTGTTTGCATGGCGTTCAGTTTTTGGATTGCTTCAAAAGTGATAATGGGGTAAAAACAACAACCATGTGTCTACCTGTCTCTCTGTCTGTTTGCCTAAAATCAGCAGCGGGTTGTGGCGGCAGAAAAGGCTAATGCAATTTGAGAGTGCCTTAATAATAGCCCTTGTTTCTGCTGGACTTCGTACTGGGTGCTGCACTTCATAAAGAATATACAGTGGTACCTCGGGTTACATATGCTTCAGGTTACAGACTCCACTAACCCAGAAATAGTACCTCGGGTTAAGAACTTTGCTTCAGGATGAGAACATAAATCGTGCTCCGGCGGCGTGGCGGCAGCAGGAGGCCCCATTAGCTAAAGTGGTGCTTCAGGTTAAGAACAGTTTCAGGTTAAGAACGGACTTCCAGAACGAATTAAGTACTTAACCCGAGGTACCACTGTAGTTACAATGAAATGTGTTTGGGAGAGGGCAGCAAAGTATGGTCAACAGTATGGAAAAAAATTCTGGGGGAGAGAAGATTGGAGAAGATGCCTGAAGGTCATTTAATGGGCTAGAATCTAGATCTAATTGGCTTCTGTGAAAAGAGAGTAGACTAGCTTGAATATGAGGAAACATATTCAGCGTAGCAAGCAGATTTCTACCAAGCTGGACATCGGTCACTAAGCATGTTAGTAATGGAGATGGGAGGAAAAAGGCGCTCGCCA